TGTCATGATTTGCTTTAAAGATTTTCTGATTTCTGTTTCCACCTGAAATGGAATTTATCTCAGTAAAAAATTGTACTTGACCGTTTAGCACTTCAAATTAATCTTCTTATTATTTTACAGCTTTTTGTACCTACTAGTTATATATCCGATCTTTAGTCAAGCAATAAAATATCACTAAGGATCACGATATTATACAAAGAAACCTCATTTTCCACATCAGTAAGTAAGAATAATTAATTTCTCTAGGGGCGATGAATAAGAAAGAGTCTTGAATACTCTTAAAAATGGTGGTTTTTCGTCCCGTGGGAACTTATTAAGTCCTGTTTAACCTCAGTTGAAGGCAATATTAGTATCATAATAATATAAATAAAAATATTCTGTTGAAAAGAAATTTATAACTGAAAAGGTGCCTCATCATGTTTTTCAGATGGATTTAATGTGTTTGTACTTTTTTATTACATAACATTATGACATTATGAAATAGTTTGCAGTAATATTTTTGAAATTTTAAGTGATTTTAAAATTGATACATGACCTTTTGCACGCTTTACTTCGTCTCTAAAAGTAGAATTTTACTACGAAAATATTTTTAATAAGAAGAAGGAAAATTTAATTAAGTAAAGTTTAAGCAAAACATTTTATATCTTGTTAAAATGTAAGGAGGTATGCCAACCACTTACTATGCAAACATTGTAAGTTTTGTAAAAAGTGCTTATATCCACTTAACAATAAAACAAAATGCAGACTGCCTTAAGCCATTAGGTACTTAAAATCAAACATAATAGAAAGGTGAACGCAAACCGTTTCACTGTATAAATAACCGTTCTTTAACAGCACTTGTTTACTTTAGCATTCTACAGTATTATAATCGTGAAAGTAACTGTAAGTATTACATTTGTAAGAACTATAAATGTTCAAGCTTTAATCAAATCAGTCTAACTAAATAGGTTAAATTTTTAAATATATAAATATATTGCGTCAGTAGAATTCCTTTTCTAGGTAAATAATATAATAGGTAATTCAAAAATATAATAAATATAATCAAATATATATCATTCAAAAATATAATATATTTATAGTAAATTCAAAAATAGGTTTAAGATTTTGCAAGTCAAATCATTATTATCACTTTAGTAAATAAAGCTTGTGAATTTTTCTTATCCATGATTATGGTTTCATGGTGTAGTAGCCACTAAATTTAAGGTTAATGGTTTATGTTACCTGGCTTCGTCAAGTAATCTTTATTTCAGTAGTACACTACTATAATTTCGGACATCAGTAAGCGTCCATCATCAGGTGAAATGAAAAAAATGTCTCAGGTCTTCTATCCAATTTGGCTGGATCCGTCGTTGACATTGAGAGCATCAGAAGCACACTAAAAACTAACATAATACTGTACACAAATTATAGAGAGTGGCGTGTAAAATAAAATCAATAAAAAAACTCGTAGTATAGACTAAAATCAGTCGTTAAAACAGAAAATTCTTTAACACGTCAAAGTTCTTCTCTCCGCTTCTACTGAACGATCTCGCATTATCTTAAACAAACGATCTACAGAATCGTCGTAAGCGTACTTCTTTCAAGCAATAAATAACCCACTTTGCCACCCCGCCAGTTCTGCTTAAATTTTAAAGGTATTCCAAAGACAAAGAGCATTTTTTAGTGAATATAAATAAAATACCATTCAACATTTAACAATATTTTTGATTCAGTTGATTAATATAGCAGCCGAAGTGAAATAGTAAAGCCAAAGTCCATAAAAAAGATTAGCAAACTTGAATCAACTACAAATTCTCAGTTGAAAATTTATAAACAACATTTATAAACAACAGCATTTATTTATAACAACAGCATTTATAAACAACACTTAACGAATTTTGAATGTTAAATTTCGACGCCGTAAAAAAAAAATATTTTAGAATTAATTCTACCACCACCCGAAAAAAATGTCTTTATCATGTCATGTCTTGTTCTGAAAATCTTGATGTCTCCAGTTTTTTTCACTACTTTTGTGCTGAACTATTTAGTTGTCAAACATAAATCTTGTATTTTCCTGTAAACATGGTGTAGGTTTATCTGTTTACAAATAAATAAATAAAAAGTTTTCCAATGAACAAAAGAATTAGACAGTACAGTAAATTGAATGCTTAAGGTTATTTATACCAGAACATGAAAACAATAGAGATGTTTACAGTAGGGTTAATTTGTTTTTATTTAATTTTGCCCTGATTTCTGTTAGAGTTAGTTGTTTGTTATATACATTAGTATTATTTGAACAATGACAGTGTAATGCAACTACATTTACCCTGAATACAACCTCTGACCTTTTTGTTTTTAACTTTTAACCTTTGAATGATTACCATTATGAAATAATTTTATCAAGTATGAACGTATTTTTATCAGAGTCTAATTAAATGACTACACCTTCCACTCTTGTTTAAAAACTCAGTCAACTTTTACCTTTTAAATTGTAACAATTCAAAATATAGTATATTTATTTTATCTACTATTGATGTTGTTTTAGATCAAATTTAGCTTTTAAGCATCAAAACCCTCCAATAATAAAATATACCCTGCACTACATAGGCCTACATTTATTTTTATTTTTATTTGTATATAATTAAGTGTTTTTTTAGTGAATAGTGTATTGTGTTAAATAACGTTTTAATAATACTACAGATAATTGAAAACTTAACATAAAAGTTAACATAACTTTGAAATTTTTACACACATTACAGTGAAATAAAATCGTAGTTTAATCGAAACAAAATATGTTACCGGTAGCTATTAAAAAAAATTTTCCTAACTCAGGTAATTACTTGAATAAAACTTGATTAATTTAGCCATTACTAAATTAAACACTTCTTTTGCATCAATAGTTAAATTTGTTGTCGAATAAACAGTCAAAAGTATGCTATATTATGTTTTAGTAAATAATCCCAATATTAGGTATATTATTAGGTATATGTTATATTATTTAGGTATATAGGTATATTGGTTATAAGGATGGACAACCATAAAGGATGGAGTGTTTGTTTAAGTAGTTAACAAAGTAACAATCAAAACAAAAACATTATTAGTTTCATCTCACTATTAATTAAACATTCCCTACCTCAACAACAATAGTAAGTACTATTCATTTGTGCATTGTTCCAGCAAGGAATTTCATGGACAAGTTTCACCGGGAATTCAATAAGACGTTCAAGTTTTGCCTCTTCATCAAAGAATCCCCTCCAAAGTTTAAAAACTCCTCCGCCATACTGTTTTTATAACTTGAATCTGTTCGGCGTTTTTCTATTGGACACAAGTTGGTAGTTATTGTTTTCCAGTAGATTAATTGTTTTGAGGTCTATACAAGGCAGGCTGTTGCGATATTCAATGCTCTTTATTTTTGAGTCCTTGAGATATTTGCGATAATATCCTTGAAATATTACCCATGATAAATGTGCCGTTTATCCCAGTTATAAATGACTTTTTAATGTACCAAGCAGTGTCAAGCTTTTAATGTGCTCACATATATATTTTCGTAAATAAAATTAAATATACTCCACACTTAAGAGTAGGAAAACGTTTCTACATAATATCACTGCCTATTGAATACGGAAGTAGACTTCCCATCTATATGAACCAGTTATAGCAAATTTTTATTTAAAAAAAAGAACGTAGTCGTGTGAGCCAGTCACAGAATGCGCTAGAGTCTAAAATTCTATTTTTTTATACCTTATTTTTTGTTGCTGACCAGGTTGATAATAACAGCAACATAACAGTTGCTACAACTTATCATAAGTTATTGACTCCCTAAGTTTGACGTTTGACTTGGTAAAAACGATCGTGTATTCGACAGAATTTAGTACTATAGATCAGCGCAATCTGTAAGTGGCTCACATCAACTACAACGATTTTGATCAAAGATCTGGCTACAAATTTAACATGGGGATGGTATGTCTAGTTGTAATAATAGTTATAGGTAATATTAAATGTCTATATTTGTATATTTACTCGAAATGGAGTATGCATATGAACTTTTTACATAGAAACACGAAAATCAAGTTGAACATAACAAGTTGTTTTAACTATACTGCATAAATTAACTTTTAAGTCGTGCACCATTGTCTGTGTTTATAAAATTTGTATTTTTTTTTATTTCTCATTTGGCACAAACTTGTAACCAACCACTAAAAATTAAAGATCCACACGTGAATGGTGAAAATATTTTTACTCAAATACCTACGAGTCGACGTTAGTACTCGAAAAATAAATGTCTGTGAAAAGTGTAAAACAAAACAGGACAAGCGTTAAAACAACAGTTCAATTACAGCAGTGTTTTCAGTGCTTCACGTTGTTATTACTGTAAAATTAACGACTGGTGTTATCGTCACTATATGTCAACGAGTTATTTATTTTATCGTAGATAGGGTTTTAAAACAACGTTTGGAAATGCTTCATGTTCCTAATTCGCAACTTTCCCCAAGTTTAGTACATAGTTATTATCCATTATTTCAGCAAACGTTGATAAAATCAATTTTTATATGATGCATAATATCAATTTTTACTATTAAATGATAGTGTGTCTGTGATGCGCATCAAACGTAATCTGTTAATTGGATTATCATGTTCTTATTATTTCACACCAGTTTAACGGTAATGCATTCAGCTATGGTAATACCAATCACAAATTTATAGAATAAATCTATTTTTAGTAACAGTTTAGTTATCTGTTATGTAACGGACTCTATTATTGTTCCAGGACTGTGACTCTGTGACTTGGGTTACACAAGACCTGTTATGTAACGATCTCTGTTATTGTTCCAGGACTATGTAACGCTATTGCTCCGGTGTTCCATTGTGACTCTGTGACTTGCGTTACACAAGATCTGTTATGTAACGATCTCTGTTATTGTTCTAGGACTATGTAACGCTATTGCTCCGGTGTTCCATTGTGACTCTGTGACTTGCGTTACACAAGATCTGTTATGTAACTATCTCTGTTATTGTTCTAGGACTATGTAACGCTAGTGCTCCGGTGTTCCATTGTGACTCTGTGACTTGCGTTACACAAGATCTGTTGTGTAACGGCCTTCCAGACTGTCCTTCAGCTCAAGACGAAGGAGTTGACCAATGTGGTGAGTTCCAAATAATTTTGTAGCAGTACGTTTGAATAGTATGTATATTGGTACTTTTCAGTCCAGTTCTTTTTCATGTTATAGGCACATGTTACCATTGAGATTAACAGATGACTAATAGATCTATATTTATATTATAATGCCTAAGTCTTACAATTCTATCGCTTTTAATAATGTTTTCTGAAGTTAGATATGTAAAAAGATGTCAACATGTATATCCGCTTTTAAAAGGTAAATCCAATCTTAGAAACCACACCTAACTAAAATTACCAAAATAATTATCTAATCCATTTCGTTTTACTGCATTTACACTTTTATGAAACTAAATTTTGTCTTTTTAGTTGTGACTAAATAGATATTCGGCTTCACACCAATTTACCAAGTTTAAAATTAACGTAAGGTATTTGCTATGCTTCCTTTGCAACGTTTGCTACATGGCTGGCCATGTTGTGAGATAAACTAATCAGTAATTTATAATGGCTAAGGAAATTCGCATGCAAAGTTTACACTACACACTTTGTTCTAAACTAATACTGTGTTATAATCGTTACAAGGTGTATGCCAAACTAAACTTTCTTGGACGCTAATCCGTCTTCTTTGATCAATAGAGCTTAACAGAAATTCTCCACTTGATATGGGAGAAAATGTTTGGATAAGCGGGAAAAGATGATTGATTGAACACTTCAATGACAGCGTCTTACGAGAAAACTCCTCCACATGAAGGTGTTTAATAAACTTAAGCCCCATTTATAGTAAATTGACTTCCTTTGAAACATTATCATTCATGTTTATTGGCACTTAGATGCAAAATGCTTATGCTTATGTTTCCATAATATGTTTCCAATAATGATCAATAAATGTCAATGGCCTTATTTTGTGAGTGTTTTCCTTGTTCCCTTCGATTATATTGAATTTATATACCTACTTACAATTTCAGAGAAACCATTCCTACTTCTCTTAACCGATTTGAATAATATGTATTAATGAATTTAAGCTAGATTTATTTTACCCGGAATCCAAAAAGGTTAATCAAAAGTAAATGGGGAGTCGTTGGCTCAGTTGGTAGCGTCATAGACTTCTGGCTCAAGGCAGCGATGTCGAGGATTCGGATCCTGGTCACTGCCGTAAACAATTTATCAGTACAGTTCACCTTCGTACTGTACCGGCTCACCCCTTGTTTTGATGGATACGTTCCACGCACAGATCTGTAGTCTATGTGGACGGGCAAATGCAAGGTTGCAAGAAGCCACCAACCTCTTAAAAGATGGCACAATATGCCATTTTATTTTAAATTTGCCAAAACATACAACTGGAATTGGATAATGAATTAAAGAAGTATATTCCACAAGCCAGGATTAGAAACGATGGCTAAATATACAATGTGTTGAACTTATTAATTTATATAGTTTACAGCTTATTAAGTTTCAATTATTTTCAGAAATTTGAGACTTATAGACCTAACATAAACCTAGGACTAGTATCATGTTATGATCAAATTTTGCAACGTATAATTAGTTTTTACACAAAAATGCATTGATCCTTTTTTAGCCTATTTCAATTTGACAAAATAACTACAATAGTATGTGCTAAGTTTAAACGTATTTTTTATATCACAACCATGGTATGCGCGAAACACGAAAAACGTGCGTTTACGAGTATATTTAAAACTCTAAAATATGAGATTCTTTATTACGGTCCATGTAGCTCCGAGGTCTTAATTTTCTCCGTATAATAACACAGTAATGTTGTTTATGAACTTCTTAAAACGTTTGAGGAAGAAATTTTACATCCAATTTTCGTTGTTTTATAAAAATGTTCTCAGATATTAAAGCATTATATTTACTTCCCTAACTTTATTGTTAATAGTAGCTGTACACTAAGCAAATTATTTGTTTATGTTATTTAACCCTTAGATAAAAAAAAATACATTAGACATCCATAAAGTGAATATTTGTATATGTGCAGTTCAAGCAATGTCAATATTTTAGTAGTCAATAATTCAACATGCTCTGTTAGTTAGGTTATGTTTACCATCATGTTGACATAGTGTGCCAGTGTGTGTTAGTTAATTTAGGATAAAATTGTTTGGACTATACTACTGGGGAAAGTATAGCCTGCATTAATCTATGCATAATTTAGATCCCAATTTTTATATGAGTTCCCACTACTATTATAGCTTCGAAAGCTAAGTGTTTGTTGCATGGTGGTTTGTTGTATAGGTGTGTTTGACACCTACCCATAAAATTATTTATTTGGTTGACCTGTTTGAAAATAACTGTTATTTATCTTCAAACTATAAAGATAAGTACAGTAAGAGATTAAAAATAAAACTCTGACAACATTTGAACATTTTACATGTCTAGTTAACAACTATGAAAGCATTTCCCTTATTGTAAATGTAAAATGCAAAAGTTTCTGTCTGTTATCAATTATGTATGACTTAAGTCGTTTGCAAACAATGATAACTTAACTGAGGATGCAGTGAGTGACTTTAGCTATCTAAAACATTTATCTTTCAACAGCATGCCAAGTCATTAGCAATTTGTTTCCCTAACTGCATTTGCTGAAACCTAGTTCATCTAACTTTTTGCTAAATGTTTTTGTAAGAATCCGAAAATTCTCGGCTTTTTGTCAAAGGAAATATTTTGTGTTACTTTAAAACTAAAATATTTTTTCCTACATTGTGAAAAGTAAAGTGACATTAACCTTTTAGAATTAGTTCATTTATATCGGAATGAATATGTATTTAAATATAACCAAGAGTTTGAATACACTCATGGTTTATGTAAAAGTATAAAATAAAGAGTTTTCTCTTGTTTTCTGAAGTTATGAAAAATATTTTTCTACGTAGTTTATATTAATGTGACAGTTACAAATCTGAATCTTGATATATACTAAAAAATTTCCAAACTTTCTGTTTAGTAATTAGCTCATTTAATATTACCAATTTAAACCTTAAACTAGGAACTATTAAATCTGGAGGCATGTATTCATGTGGAATATGTCGGTAATTTTCCATAAACATGGCGATGCACTGTACATTATTATCAGTACGTATCTTCGTAATATAATTATGATCACATGGTTATATCATAGTTCGGTTCAGTTTATAACATGGCGAACGTTGTTTGTTCATGGTAGATGTAGCATAATGTAATAAGGATTTAATGTAGCTGGATAGTTTTTTCTACAGCATGTACTTTGAAACAAGCGAAATCCTGTGAAACTGTTGAATTATATGGAATATTTGTACATCACACAATTCTACATCAGAAAATATGATTAATACTTTTTATTGTGCGTCTTTGGTTTGCTCAGCAAGTAAAAAGCCTTGGTGAATAATCCTGCATTAATGTGAATTTCACTGTAATCTTAATGAGGATACCGTAGGTGGGGACTTACCGCACTTTTTGTTTGAGACCCTAGAAGCGAAAACCCACAATCCTTCAAATGCTTTTATAACTTCTGTTAGAGCTATTTAATTTGTACAAAAATGCATCATGATAAAGTTCTGTCTAATTAACACATTCTAGTTTCTTACATTGTATTTTTATATAGTGTACTCTATCAATATGCTTACTCTATGTGCGTTTCCGGTTCCAGGATGTCTAGCCAACGAGTTCCGGTGCTCCAACAGCTGTGTGGCGCTTGTGCGTCGTTGTGACAGAGTCAAAGATTGTCCACAAGGCGAGGACGAACTGGACTGTAGTAAGTTTCAGTTGTATACATTATGTTTGATGGTAAACTATTTACTATATGTATTTTAGAGAAGTAAAGCATATGGACTAAAAGAAGATTGTATTATTTATTTGATTAAATATTTTTTCTTAATTCTGTTTATGAATCTGATGATTCCGATCCAGTAAGTTGTGATACCTTAGATGACCAAAAGTCTACATAGATGTATCCATGTATCCATAATATATCCGGAGCCCATGCATCTAAATAAGTTTTCCCGATTGATTTTTAAATGAATCATTAAAATAATTAAGTAACTATAAGAACTAATTTCCAACTGGTCCCCATTCATTAAATTTTAGGAAGATGTGTAAAACCAGTATATGATACGTGATAATCTTAATTCAATGTAAACTAATTAAAATTCCCACTGATCCTTTGTATTATAATAAACAAATTGATATTTATTTTAAAATATTATTAATTCATTTAGAAAATATTTTTACTTTTCTTATAGTGTATGTTTTCCAAAATACACACATATTGAGTAAGAGTAGGCCTAAAACTTGTAATGAATAAATAACTACTTACTCAAAAAGGAGTTTACTCTTGGAAGGTAGTCAATGAACAACAAAATCCTTTTCCCAAAAGACGTTGAAGCTTTGGAAATTGTTTAAAGCTCCCAAGTCACCATATTCAACTTTCGTATAGCTCCAAATTCCTTTTAAAAGCTCTGAACAAAGTTTGCAAAACATCTTGCGAAGAAGATCGGCTGGGAAATCTTCTATTTTAACTCCAACTATTCCTCCAACGTTAAATGAGATCTTCCGAAATTGTACCTCACTTTGGTGGAACCCTTTTCATAATATAAATCTACTAGCTTTACAGTAATTGATTTAAAATCATTGTAAGCATGTAGATTTGAAAGACAAATAGGTACACTAATTTGGTGCTTAAGACATCGAAGTTTTAAGTCAAGTGGAAGTGAGATACGCCTTATTGTTTTAACTTTCGCTTAGTTTCTATAAATTTTGTTTAAGCACCCTTTTGGCTAAAGCTCGCTACACTGATCAAGGTTTTTCTGCTTTAATGTTTCACTATCTACATGTTGTTTGGAAATTGCTTGTACAAGAATATCTGACAACGTAAAATTATAATTAAGTTGTGCTTTTCACATTTTAAAAAACAAAATTTCTTACTATTTAGGAACCTAATTTTAAATAGCCCTAATATTTTATTGTAGATTATAAAACCATTAAAAGTTTATTGGACCGATTAGTAGAGTTCGAGTATTTGTGCATTACTAAGATTATACTATTCTATGACATTGACATTATAAAATTCCACTTTAAAATCGAAGTTGATTTTAGAGTGGTCATTTCTGGTTTTACATTTCCATTTCTAGTTTTAGTTTAAAACATTGGTTTTCAAATTATTATTTAGTTGTAGCATTATACCTGCCAATATGAAACACTGTTTGGACGAATTTCATTGTAACACTTCCTAAAATATCTAAGAAGGCAACGGAAAACCTAAGGTAGATAATCAAGCTATTATGAATACAGCCTATACATGTTCCGAAAGTTAAGAACTTGGTTAATACTTAAGGACGAGCAGCTTGGCCACATGCTAAGTTTCATCGATGGTTATATTATACTAGTATGAAGAACACCCATATGTTAGAGGAAGAATGAACAATAGAATTTATGGGAGATTATGACATTGCAAGCTCCTGTACAACATTAAAAATAATTGTAGTATTTTTAAAATCAAATTACTAACTTCATGTTTGATAGAGAGTGTGTGTTAACCTTTTATAAAAAATCAATTGTAATCATCAATCATCAATTCTTATAATTATCAATTATAAGAACAGTCAGGTAGGCTAAGACATTTAACTCGTATCCTGTATATTTAATCCATCCAATCATGTTCATTTATTTATACAATGTAAAATTAAAATAATTGTAAATCAAAGTGTAACACTTACGATGACGTTTAAGGATGAGATTTAACATTTAGCACTCTAGTGAGGCATTTTGTGAGAAGGCATTTTTTATTTAGTGCAGCTCTTTATCATTGCTACCACCTTACATCTAAAAATACTCAAACAATACATTCACAAAGTAGTGAGTGTTTGTTGTCTTTGTTTTATCAACAAATAATCGTAAAAATAAATTGATTATCTTTCACAATTTCTTTAAGTTAAAAAATGGTTGTCAAGTATTTTTAAAACGACAAGTATATCTTAGTAAGTTTATAAAAAAATATAAAAAACAGGGAAGGCCAAGTTAAATTTTGAACAACGCAATATCTGGGAGAAACGCAACCTCTCGTAATCCTCTTAGAAACACAACACCAAAATAAGATGTTTTACGCCTTACTGTGATACTTATTACACCTAAAGATAACGTTGTACAAAACATCTCTTGGCCTATATTGTTTTTGGGTTTGTTTTTCGTTATTTTTCTGAATATTCTCATAACAATTCCTATAGTACGTTAACAACGTTTAGGTGGTTTGAGGGGAAGTTCCCCACCAATTTTTCTGCTTAACGTACGTTGCAGCTGATTTACGTTTTGACAAATCTCAGCTGTTGAGCTAATTTTAGTGGTAGGATCAAGACGTAAAGAGTATATATATTTCTTTCAAACCGCCTACATTTTTTGAACGGAGTATATTCCAAAATCTATATGAATCTATATGAATAAAATTAATTTCAGTTTTGTCTGCACATGGCGTGATGAATCTTAGTTTTTTTTATGTTTTAAGTAGTTAACTTTTCACCAGCAATACATTCTATTAATGTACAAAGATTTTGTGAATCAGGGTGGCCAACTTTCCTCGCAACTTCTCCTACTGAATTTGTACATTAAATTAGATTTGACCGTAATTGTTGTGGATACTGTACAAAATAATAAGAGCAAAGTTATTAAGCAAGGGTTCTAATTCTCATTGGCAATCCGCTCGCCAATCTAAGTACTTGGATCTATGTCCATCTATTTGTTTTAACAATTTAAAATTTCTTGTCATCACAAACTTTGTATACCCAATTTTATCCTCTACTAAAATTAATCACACATGACTATACGATTAAAATATTATTTCTGACTGTCGCATTAGACTTTTTAGACTTTTTCAATCTCAGAATTTCTGAGAAGTTTCATTAGCCTTGGAGGTATTTTAATTTTGTAGATTGTAATAAACTTTGTTGTGTTTCAGAAACATTCCTCTGTCCTGCGACACATTTTAAATGTGACAATCACTTCTGCGTTCCTCTGCACAGTGTCTGCGACTTCCGTGACGACTGTGGGGATGACTCTGACGAGACCAGCTGCTGTGAGTCACTATAGTCAGTATAATGGAACCTGTCTCCTGACTCTTCATCTACTCATGGGCCGGGCCTATAACCATTGGCTTATCTAGGTAGATAAAGGGTCGGAGACAAGTTTCACCATACAGAGCGTGGGACACTTTTTTGATTCGTAGTGTAATGTGTTCCCCGCTAGGAGGATTAAACATTATCCTCCTAGGTTCCCCGTGGTTTCCAATGAGAATTAACCATAGTCAAATTGTGCGTAAAAATAAAGAAAAATCAGAGAAATTGTTCAGTTGTGTAATTAGTGTCTGGTACAACGTTTCGTTGCATCATTGTCAGTGACAATGAGAGGCTAACGAAAACATAACCTCTCTTAGAAGTAATGAGTAGTGATTTTAGTAATTAAAACACTGTCGTAGGTAAACTAGTGTACGCAACTCGTGTAAATAATGTTAACGCAATCGTTGCATAAACTACTATTAACTAACCTAGATTAAGAAAAAGGACTTAAAGCTCCAATTTTTTAAAACGTTAACATTATCGTGTTTGGAACCTAGACTAAAGGGGGTACAAGCTATTTGGTTGGATTTACAACAGGTTTTTTACAATTCAGTCTTATCATTTTTTTTAAGTACTAATATATTTGTAAAGCATGAAATTCAAAACGGAAAAAAAATTTTAACTGTGGTTTTATGAAAATAAATAATGAAATCTTTCCACTTTTGGATTTACTTTATTTGTATTTTAGTTTACCATGTCAGCATTGTTAACCTTGCATTGTTACTTTTTAAATAAGAAGAATAATTCTAACAAGGCTAACATTTTCAAAGACTGGCTTAATTACTTTAAATTAAGATACAATTGAGTTCGGAAATCAAAGTACAAACGTCTAAAGATATAAAGGAAAAGAAGTAAAAGAGAAATTACTGAATCACCTTTGGAACAAAACGGAGCTGATTAATGCTAACCTACTTAGAACTTTAGGCGTGAAGCTAAGATTTGTGAAGTTACTTCAAAGTTTAACTGTTCTAACTTTAAACCAGAGAGAGCATTTTACTTGTTTGAAGACACCTACTTGAGTTTAGTTTGTGTTTAACAGATTTTTAAACAGTAAATTGTTTTCAGATAGTTTTAATTCATTAACTTTACTCAGTATGGTAATTAAACTGGAAAATAAATAAAACAGAAACTATAATTTGTTAGTACACTTTACGAATATTGTGTTTAACTTAGGATTTTCTATTCAATTATAAAATAAACTGCCTATAAAACTGAACATAAAACACACAATAACCAAGATCAGATTTTTCACAAGGCATAAAAGTATAATTTTGTAGCAGGGATTTTTGTATACATTATTTGTAGAATGTTTTCTATTGTGTGCTTTGTCTGGAAGAGCTTTGAAAATTTCGTTGCGTACACTACTTTACCTACGACCATTTTTAATTACCAACAATCACTACTCATAACTTCTAAGAGAGGTCATGTTTACGTTTATAACCTCTCATTGCCGCTGACGGTTATGCAACGACTCATTGTCCCAACCACCCACTTATTGTTAAAATTAAATTTGGCTCAACAGCTGATCAGTTGACGTTCAAAACATTACAATTTTACTTATTTTCTCTCAAACCTTGAACCTCAATGGTCCAATCTTGTACTGTAAAGTAACAAAACAATGCTGTAATGTGAATCGGGTGTACGTTGCTTTATTTTTTACAATTTGTAAATTTAGGTTTCAAATACTGACTTCCAGAGTACAGACAATTTATTTCCAAACAAATTAATTTAGTGGATGACTTTAAGAAAACGTTTGTCATTAACAACAATTACACCTATGACTTCTTGAAATCGTTATACGTCGTGGTCGTGTACATACTATCATTGACTATATAACACTAGTGGTGTTATATAGTCACTATGTAATCACTATATAACACTAGTTGGACTATATAACACTAGTAGTGTTAAGTATATAGTCAATGATACTATCCAATCGCATTGCCTGGAATATATATTTATATTCAAATTCTGTTAGGGCCTACTGTACTATGAATGGTAATGCTATAAAATATAACAATTAATAAATTAACAAAATGGTGATGATTCGTAAATTAAATTATGAAAAGTTTCAAAAATATATTGATTTTTTATCGTATTTATAACCTCGCAGAATATTTTAATGACTGAAAGGCTTTATTTTCGATTTATGTGTTACTGTACAAAGTTACTATACCAATATAGTATACAAAGTGCGTACTATGTCGAATAAAAGTTGTGTTGCAAAAAATACGGTCATACATTTAAATACATCATGTAAAACAAAATTAATGAACCCAGTGCTGGAAAGTTTTATGTGGCTTACAGGCCCTAATGGAAGTTTTGCTCTCAACCAACTTAATATTTATTTTAAGTTGAAATTACAATGTAGTAGGTTATTCAAATTTCAACCACATTTTTTGTTATAATTAGTAAGTTTTGGTAGAGTTATGGCATTATAGATTTTGGTATAAACTAATGTAGGTCATACATTTTACTATCTAGTTAAGAAAGTTTCAAGCTAAATAGACTGATCGAGCGGTAGCTCTGAAACTTTGAGACTTTTTTTTAAAAGTTGATTCTCTATCAAGCTTTAACTAAATTCCAGACCTGGAGAGTGGTGATCGTTTACTCCCCACTCTCTGTTGAATGATTCGATTAGATTTTCTTTAAAGTTTAAATGGACCTCGCTTTTAGCGGATTTTCAGGTTAGTTCTTTCACCATCGATACTTCGACTGATTAAATAAGCAGACTTAAAGGAAGAAAATGTTTTATTTTGGTCCTTTTGGGGTTTCTAATTAATTATTTACATTAACACGCAACCCCAATATTCACTCCTCACACACCTTACTAAAACTGTTTCAGCATAAATTATTTGTTGTGTCACTAATTTTATTAAAATCGTTATGAGTTATGTTGGTCAGAGGAAACTCATGTTTCACCTTATAGGGATTGCTTTTTGAATCTTTCAAGCATATTTTTTCCAGTTTGAAAAAGTTGAAAATTGAGACACAATTTATTGCTTGCTTTTTCTGAAGAGCTACAAAGGGGTTTGTTTCGATCTCCTCTGTAACAATAATTCTTTTCCCAAATAAATGTCGCCTAAAAGCCACGGTGTAACGCCCTTATTTGAATATCACTACAGCAATCACAACTACTTTGTGTTATTTATGTGTATTCACATGCAGTATCTATTGTACTAGATATGGGTTGGCCATATAAATTATAGGAAAATGAATAACATTTTAAATACAGACATCTTCTAGGTATTTACTTTAAAAGTAACTTATTTGGTAATTTTATAAAATAACTTTCTATGAGTTAAAGTACAACTTTTTTCACATATCGTTAACTTTTTTTGCATATAGTTCGGAAATCTAACGTACTGTTTTGTAGTGTATTGAATTTTGTAAGGGTATTACATTGTTTTTGTTTTTTTTGTAAGATTACATTATGGTGTTTGTTCTAAGGATATAGCAATGCATGTCAGCATTTTTCTTTTTTTTTAGAAGAATTCCGACAAGGCTAACATTTTCAAAGACTTGCTTAATTACTTTAATTTACTTCAAATTAAGATACAATTGAGTTCGGAAATCAAAGTACAAAAGTCGAGAGATAAAAAGGACATGAACTAATAGGGAAATTACTGAATCACCTTCCGAACGAAGCGGAGCTGATTAATGCTCATCTACTTAGAACTTTAAGCGTGAAGCTAAGGTTTGTAAAGTTACTTCAAAGTTTAAGTGTTCCAACTTTAAATCAGAGCATTTTACTTGTTTAAAGACACCTACTTGAGTTTAGTTTGTGTTTAACAGATTAAAGCGAATTTCCTCATAGGGAATTAATAGAGAAAATTAGTTGTCAACCTGTTAATACTTAATTTGCACTAAATGCAGTAAAGAATCTTTTTCCTTACACTGTTTCGTTTAAATCGCAATGACCATTTTTCAAATTTTCCAAACACCTGAAATGAGAAAGGATAATAATATCACATAAAGCGTTAAACATGCTATAAACATTTGATGTCCCGAGGTTGACATATCATTTTATATAGTCTGAGGAGTCTATTTGTTTTATACTCTATGTACGTTCACGTTGCAGCTCACAGAGGTTGACATATCAGTTTATATAGTCTGAGGAGTCATAATTTGTTTTATACTCTATGTACGTTCACATTGCAGCTCACAGAGGTTGACATATCAGTTTATATAGTCTGAGGAGTCATAATTTGTTTTATACTCTATGTACGTTCACGTTGCAGCTCACAGATCATGTTGGCACTCAGAGTTCAGATGCAACAATGGCGAATGTCTACGTCCTGGATCCCTGTGTGATGGCGTCTTCGACTGTCAAGACCTCAGTGACGAAACAGACTGCGGGCCAGGTAAAGTTTATGAGAATAAATATAATTTTTGTATGTAATGTAATTCTTATCTTTATAACTTTATGGATTCAATGACGAATATAGTGCTGAGTATTTTCAAAGCACCAAAGGCCTCTAGAATCAAGAATCTTTATTGCCTTTGATCCATACATATACAGACATTGGCATGTAGTCGTCCTTGGAGTCCACATATTGCCTCCAACTGGTATTTTTCTGTTCCCTTTTTAACTCTCTTTGGTTCCATACATCTACAGACGGGATATTCTTCAATTCAACCACCTTCTTCTAAACCTGCCTTTTTTCCACATTCCTTTATCATATTTTGTATTTCCAACCATATTTCACAAAATTAAGGCTGTTTGAGAGAAAGTTCCCCCTCTACTTTTTTGCATTTTTGTATATTACAGCTGATTGACGTTTTGGCAAACCTCAGCTGTTGAACTAAATTATTTGAAGGGCAGGTTCAAGTGGAGGTTATATACTTCTTCACCTTAAACCACATATTTTTATACTCTTACATATTTATATACTCTCTTGTAGTATTCTCCTCACCGGGTTCCCAACTGATTCTTCCCGTATAAATAAAATACACAATATTATTTGAGCAATGACTCATCAATGCAACTTTTTCTTAAAGATCTCTACTTTCCACCTGAACTACCCAAAAAAAATTTCTGTTACGCCCTAAAGAAAGGGAATTTAATTGTTATAGGCAATGTAAATCCTTGAGTTCAAATAAAAAAATAAGATGATAATTTTTATGAGGTTAGCTACCTCGTTTATTTTTGCATTTGCCTGTCCACATAGGCCTCGGGTCTGAGCGTTGAACGTATCCAGCAAAGCAAGGGGTGAGTGCAGTACAAGGGTGAACTGTACTGCAAATAAATTCTATATTGCTTGAACTGAGTCCGAAACTTAATTAATTACTATCAGATTTCTTCTTGTGAGAATTAGTGGAAAAAGACTCGAAGGGTTTTTAACAATTAAATATCTTATCCAAATTATTTTTCAAAATTAAAATTCAAAAAAATTCTTAATCCTTCTACATACCAGCGATGCTATTTTGTAATAGTCATGATCTTGTCTTCAAAGTGGATCGCGGGTTTATCTTAGAGGCTTTTATTCCACCAGTCTACAATGGGTTTTAAAACATATGTTAATGTTATAGCCTTCGGAATGTTAGGGTTCGGAACCCACCTTAACATCATTATGGTGTGGGTAGCCTCCGGATTGCGAATAATAACTATGATAGTGGTTTAAATACCTTATTCATGAAATCCAATTGTTGTCTCCACAACTAGTTTCAACCTGCTAGGAGGTCATCATCAGGTGAGTACAAGGATGAATTACTTCATATGAAGGTCGTCAGTAACAGTTTTTTTTACATTTACACAAACACACGACGAATAATAAACACATAGTGCGCACACATATACGGCCGATAAAAACATTGACCTCCTAGCAGGTTGAAACTAGTTGTGGAGACAACAATTGGATTGCATGAATAAGGTATTTAAACCACTATCATAGCCACCTTAACATGTTGGTTTGCCTGTCTTAAAAAGAATGTCTCAATGAACTAATTGATAAGTAATATTTTTTACAACAACATCACAGACAAATAATAAGTTTACTTTTATAAAATTTACTTTTATTTCATAAAAAATATTAGTTATAAACATTAAATTAATTGATGCAGCTTATCTCGATATACGGTATTTTAAAATGCATCTCTATGACACTTCCATTTTTACAATTCTAAGGAATTCTCAAAGACATATCAGATATGGACATTAATAATTCACAATTCAGCGAAATGCACTTGGCGAGAGCTTGTTGAAGGTGAGTGCAAAGATGGAATAGATACGTGAAGTTTATTCAGTTTTCCAAGTAAAAATTTGCCAATACTTTTGTATTTCTTTTTAAAGTAATATATACATTTCCCCTGTAGGACGGCCTATACTCCGTATGATGGAACCTGTCTCCAGACCTCCGTGTACCTATAGGGATAACCAATTACTGTTTAAGGCCAGGGCCTGTATCATGTAGACGCTGGGTAAGCGAAAGGTTCCATCATACGGACTATAAGTAGGAACATGATTTGTTAAGTTTATGCTGGACTTCTAATCATGCCGTAAACTAGGGATTCAGGTGAATTAATGTTTAGGTCTACCTTTCCCAAACAAAATGAAATGTCTTTATGGTGATGAGAACATCCTCTGTATTCGAGTACTCCCTCCAAATAAATTAATCCAAAAATTCATTACTTAGTAATTATAGTAACTCCTGGTACAGAATGAAAATAACTTTATACAGTACTGTAGCTGAAAAATTTCTGTATTTCCAAGTTTTATATTTCCTTAAAATATATATATATCCAACCTTTATCTTGTAGTAAACATATAACTACATATGCATGAACATAAAATAAACAGCATCATCAATCTGACACACATTTCTCCCATTAGCTTGTCGACAACCTTTATCATGGGTAAGCGGTGGGAGTAAGTATGATATTTTATAGGGAAAATCACAAAATTAGCAATAGCTTTTGAACCATAACTTTTAATAGTAATGGGGGTTTGTAGTATTTTGTTTAGAATTTTAAGGACCATATCATACTTAATTTAATCAAAACCAACGTTTTTCAAAGGTCCGATTTTCAGTTATTTTTCTTTTTTTGAAAATAACATAAGTAACAATAACTTTTGAAGCGTAATTTTACAGCAATGGGGGTTGCACTGTTTAGTTTGGTTACTATTATAACTTCTTGATCGGCATCGTACGCGTTATTAAATTACTTGTAATTACAAAAATATACTTCAAATAAAACTTTTAGCATATTGGGTCTGATGATGATTGGAGTGTCCAATCGAAATCAATCACCACTTATCAACCTTTATGTATTTACCGTCTTTTGAGTTAACAGTATAAGTGTAAATATAGTATTACAAGTGTTATTTGACGTAACTCTGTAATTTCATGTTCATATACTATGGATAGGGGAGAAAGTAAAACAAGTTATATAGTGATAAGATGTAACGATGTTATAGTGATAAGATGTAACTATGTAGTGATTGTTGTAGTGATATTCAAATAAGGGTGTTACATCTACCGTGGCTTTTAGTAGACATTTATTTGGGGGAAGAAGTAGTAAAACAGAGGAGAAACAAAACCGTTTGTAACTGTTAAGAAAAAATATAGCAATAAATATTGTCTCAATTTATTACTTAACATTTAATTGCACATGTATTTTTGCAACATGTATTACGTAACATGTATTACTTGATATATACATGTAACATTTAAAAGCCATTATTGGCATGTAGCTTATTGAGGTGAAACTTGATGTGTTTCACTGACTAAAGTAAAACAACTCATAACAGTTTAGTGAAACAAGTTCAACCAAATTAATGATATATTAAATTAATTGTTCTAAAACAGTAAGGCGAGTGAGGGGTGAATTTAACGGGGGCGTCTTGATAGAGATAATTAGTTAGAAACCCCTAAAAGACCAAAATAAACACATTTTTCCCCTCAAGCCATCGGTCCAAGTATCGATGGTGGAAGAACCAACCTGAAAATCCGCTAAAAGCGAGGTCCATTTAAACTTTAAAGAAAAGTAATCGAATAATTCAACAGAGAGTGGGGAGTAAACGATCACCTCTCTCCAGGTCTGAAATTTAGTTAAAGCTTGATAGAGAATCAACTTTTAAAATAAGTCTCAAAGTTTCAAAGCAACCACTTGATCAGTCAATTTAGCTTGAAACTTTTTTTAACCAGTTGATAGTAAAATGCATGACCCTCACATTTTAGACCAAAATTTATAATACTACGAATAACTCTACAAAAACTTACTAATTATCCAAAAACATTTGGTTGAATTTTGAATAGTGTATTTTACTTCTAGCTTAGAGTAAACATTAAAGCCGGTTGAGAGTTAAACTTCCATGTAGGCCTGTAAGCCGCACAAAACTTTTCATCCCTGGGTTCATTAATATTGTTTTTCACCACACCATGTTTTTAGCCGTTTTACAAACGTTTATTTGAGGCCGAAAGCTACGTATTGCCATAGTATATCTATGGTATTGCTAACTATGCCAGCTGTCATCGTCATTTGGGGATTGAGCTGGTGTTTACATCCCTAGAGTCAAAAATAAGCTGTTCACTTACTTTCTTAAAACACTAATTAATGCATTTTAAATACACAATCAGTATCGATGCTTTTTGTCACCGTTGCCTAGCAACTGTTTATTATTATTATTGCTGATTCCCAAAATTATTTCTTCACATAACTTTAAGGTTGTAGTTGTGTTGACTGTTACTGTGCATTATTATTCTGGTGAATACTGAATAGTGGTAATAGGGTATAGTTTGGTGAAAAATAGCGTTCGTGCCACGCCCAAAATAGGTTTCGGCCCTAGGTACGAAATATACTATTACATGATGTAGTCAGATGTATGAACATAATTTTCGAAACATAAACTTCTTTCCAGATAGTTACTTTGTACAGTTACATACATAAATAGAAATAAAGCCTTTAAGTGGTTCAAACATACGAGATTAGGTGTACGATAGAAATCTACATCTTTAACGTTTTCACACTTTCGTCATTTTCTTCTGCTGTACATTGATTAATTAACCTCTCTCATGACATAATCTTCGACATTACGCCTTAGCTTTTAAAATACATCCAAGGAAACACTCTTGGATCTTATAAACAAGATGTATTTCAGAGTTAATTGTTACTGTATTCTGGTATATAATTTTAACATGGACATGAGAGGTTAACTGTAAGAAAGGACCGTGAGGTTCTAAGTTCACCTCAGTAAAGAAGGATTTTCATTTCGTTTCATATTCACGAGACGATATTATCCTACAGTTATTGTAAAAAATGCTATATTTTCAATGTAAATTTTATTTGTAAACTGCTACATGAACTCCATTTAAGTTATTCCTTTCATTCAACTTCTAGATGTTGTAGGTTGATCTATATACAACGCATTATTTAAAATTCGTTATTGTCAGTCATTCATATTTGAAAACAATAAACAATTTTGTAAAAATGTAAAAAAATAATTTAGAACTTACTTGATATGCCAAATGTCAAGTTAATTATTAAAATAAAATTGCAATAAAAGATAGTTTAGCTTCATTAGCAACAGTTGATGTTGTGGAAACACAAAATCACAGATATATCTTGAGTGTGCATAAGTATAGTCATAACGAGACGACATCTTCCAAAGTGGTTCTACAGTAATATTACAGTCCAGCTGAATGTTTACAATTTCACTTTACAACCCTTTTATTGCCTGTTCATCTCCTTATCCCGCAATGCGCTGCTCCGAATATAAATAGTTATTTTCATTTGATATTAAAGAGTCCTTGCAGGGTTTAATGATTTCTGATTGTTGTGATTTATTTTTCAATCATCATGAAAGTACTTTTCCTGTTAAAGAAGGAAATGTTTCCTCTACTACGAGAAATGCATTTCCTGTTATAATTTTATTACATAATTATGTCTGGCTATCGTAGCCTAAATTTTTTTCAATTATTGATTGATTGGTTACTAACATTTAAATTCAATAATAAAAGCATTACGTTAATTTGTCGGTGTTCACACAAACAGTAGCTTGGTAAAATGAATTTTTTGTTATATTTGTCTGATTAATTAATAAATACCTTAACGTTTACTACGCCAACTGCAATAGGTAGTTTTTACTTTCTTCCCTTACATAAGTATTGTTTTTGTCAACCTTTTCGAGTTTGAATTTTGGGTGGAATTATTGTTTTTTGGATTCCATCTATGGTCCATTTTAGTGAGATTTGGTATGTGGGTAGTAATCAGTAGAAATTTAGATTTATAAAGGTGATTTTTCCATACAACCCACAAATCCAATTTTCACAAATACTGCTGTGTTTAAAAAAAGTTTTGCTTTTTAACAGAACTTTTAACTCTACACAATTTGGTACAACCTCCATTGCGGTAAAATTTACGGCTAAAGTTATTGCAGCGTTTATGATTTTCATCATCAAAATATCTTAGCCTATTCAGAATATTCAATATAAAGTACCGGCAGTTAGAAACTTGGCATGATTTTAATTTATTGATAAATACTGATGAGGTAATTTTATTTTTGATGCAGACTCGTTCGCTGACTGTGAGGACGGAACAAAGGTTCACAGGTACTACTGGTGTGACGGCTGGCCTCACTGTACACAAAACCACGCAGACGAACTGAACTGTGAGTAAACATTCGACAACATTTTGATTCTATTTTATACACATGATCTTTCTATGAGCTTTTATCCCATCAAACACCAGCGTGTACTAGTAATTAATGATAAACTCATTAAAGGCCAATTTTATGTTTGCAGACAATATTATTACGACACTGACTCCATAATGTACATTTTAATTGTGACTAGCTTTCGTAACTGACATCAACTCCTATGTCTCAGGCAAGGAGTGCAACAGCTCTGACGAGTTCAGATGTCCCAATGGTCGTTGTATCAGGAGAGCCAACGTGTGTGACTCACAGTGCGACTGTGTAGTCAACGCTACAGACTCTTCTTGTGCTGACGAAGTGGATTGTGGACATGTGTATTCGGTGGACTATGGTGAGAACCATCCGTGAAGTTATTAAAAAAGAAAATATTTTAAAAGATCATCTAAACTCATCTGAAATACTTTTCTTATTTTTTCTTCGTATTTTTATTTTGGGGTGGGGGGATCTGATTAATTTGCTTTCTTCCATTTCTCTTTTAGCGAATTTCCCATATAGGGAATAAGCTATTACCGTAGTACTCATGGTAAGACCTGGACCCGGGACCGATTTTTTTTCGTTTTGAGGTCCCTAGAGGCCAAAAACACCATCCGTTCAAATTCATATATATATATATATATATATATATATATATATATATATATATATTTATATATATATTTATATATATATATATATATGTGTCCGTTAGCGCGATAACTCGAGCAAAAATGATCCGATTTTGATGAAATTTGGTACAAACGTGTAAACCTACGTTTATTCGAACGAGTTCGCGAACCAGCATGATCAGATCATGGGAACGGGGGTTTATGGGGGCTTTTATGGGGTAAAAATGGGTTTTTCCCATTTTTGACCCAAAAAGCATAAAATTTTGCAATTTCTTTCTAAACTATTTTGTAGAGCTTAAAAAAACAAATAATTTAGTATACTGAAGCGTTGTAATGCGCCTAATAGTTACGGAGAAAATTCCAAAAAATTGTAAATTTAAAATTTCCATGTTATTCTTATGGAGAATAAGTAAACTGTTGTAGTTTGCTTGTTTATTAACATATTTTGTCCAAATTTGGAAAATGTTTTTATTTCTTACCAACTATTAACATTTTACATAAAAAACACTTTTACCCTCCCTGTTGCAGCAAACCTAAGTATGTTTTAAACTGATTATTTTTAAATAGGGAATAAATGTGATATTTTTAAGGAGACATTTTAGTGTAAATCCATTCAGGGAAATGGAAATTCGCTTAGTCGGCAGGTTTGCTGCGGCGGGGGTATTTTCTTTTAACATAATTTCCTTCCTTCTTTTCTAATAATTCTGATCTTCTTTTTTGTTTGTTTTTATTAGGATTTTTTTTATATTTCCTGTTATTTTTTTCTAACTTTTTCTAAGTTTAAGTATTTTCAAATTTTCCTCTTTCCTTTATTTCTTTACCAAGGTGATCAAATAATGGTTTGGGAATAAATTTGGCAATACACCTTTTGACTTACTTGCATGGTTACCAAATTTTTATTTAACAAAGTCTTTGAATCAAACATAAAATATATTGTTTTTGTATGATGTATCTGGTGGCAGTATTTGGGTTACGAGGCTCATAACTCATTGTCACATACATAACTTTAGATAAACATATAAAATGTGTAGTTATTTTTAAAATACTTCTTAGCCTCTAGCACTAAAGATACTGATTGTTTTAAATTGAATAATTAACAGTATAAGATTAATAAATCAATTATTTCACATATCTAAACTAATCACACCTTTAAAACGAAAAATTTTTAAAAAAATATTCAAATGGCGTAAATGAATGGCGTCCTAATGCAATTTCAACATTGACTTGGTACTATATACTACGTACTCAAAAGTTTTATTTATAGTTCAATGGTAGGTTTACCACTTACTCTCCAAAGACTTCTTCTCAGCCATCAGTCCTGCTAAAGGTTAATTATAAGAATCATCAAGTCTTTAATCCATTTCTCAATTAAAAGTTTACTCATTATCCTTCTCTTTCTTAGAATTTATAAAAGTTTTGAATTATATTACTAAAAAATGTAACGATTTCATAATAAACTATTAAGATATAAATTAATAATAAAAAAGAACATAATCCATTAATTAATAGAAACCGATAGACCAAGGAAACAATATTAGATTTTTTAAATATATGTACAGGGTGTCCCACAGAGAGGTTAAAACGTATGATTTTATATACCTTACCCATAATTGCACCGAAAGTTTGAAGATATTTTGGTGAAAAGTTTAGCTTCCTATTGGTTGAAACTAAATTATTTAATTTAAAAAAATATAAGCAATTTCTTTCCTATGGTATTACGGTCATAAGTTATTACTAAATTTGTTTACAGCGTTGAAGTTTTGACTCTTATTGTTGATCAGCTGGTTAATTAAAGAAGATTCGTCAAGCCACAAAAACTAACCTCCTCAACTGCAGATTTACTGAAACTGAAGTTCGGGAGATGACTTTAATCTTGAATTAAGTTTTGTTTCGTGGAATATTGATCTTATGCAGTTAGATTATATTTTACAACACTACCAGTTTCTAACAAAATATTTTTCACCTGGTTTTCACTACTAGGTGATTCAAATTGTGGATAAGAAACCTGACACTGCTTTGAATAATAGACAATATCGAGCCGAGTTGTGTGGTTGATTTATGTCATCAATGACGTCATTGCTGAGAAATATCCTATACAGTAAGTATTAAATTTGTTACCCTTCCTTTTTATACAGGAGTTGCTGTGTGTGAGTTAGGGGTAGCTCTAGGATGTTTTGCCCCTCCATTGCCCCAAAACGCAGGCAAAGTCCGCTGTATTCAACCCCAGTATCTGTGTGACGGATCCAACGACTGTCACAACGGCAACTTCTTATCAGACGAATTCGGTTGTGGTAAGTATGATAACAGAAACTTCAAATCATTAGTGAAAAGTGAGAATAAAACGAAGATGTTTACAATATATAAAAAAAAAACATTCGTGGATTCATCTTCATCAACCATCTTCATAAACTTAAAAAATAAATACAACTTATTAGTGTTTCAAATTACTGCCTGGCATATGCCAGTATTCTAACAAAAGATGAAAACAGCGTGAAATGTAAAAAATAGGCAACATCAACACATTTAAATGCTACGGTACGTGATCATTGTCCAAGGTTGACTTTAGCTATAGCTACATTGTCAATAATGCGTTGTATCTAAGTGATAAGTAACCCACAAACCCACAGAGCCTAGCCTAAATGTATGTGTAAGACCGCTCTTGACCAGACCAAGCAGCAAGCTTCCAAATGTAAATGTAATACTTCAATCATTGTCATTCCAGGGACCGAGATATCCAACAGAGTGACCGAGGTTGCTGCCAACTTCAGATGTCTCGATGGTCGCAAAATGCCGGTGATCACCCGATGTGACAAGAAGATTGACTGTCTCCACGGCGATGACGAACTCAATTGTCCTGGTAACTTAAGGAATCCCATCTTAATCTCGTAGATTCGACAAGGAAATTATTTTTCATTAGTGTAATTCCATTGTTATCAATGAGTTTAGTTGGAGGATTTGTTGCAGGCAGTCACGATTGTTAAAATTGTTACATAATGTTTTGGAATTTAGGATAGTAGAACCTGTCATATCCGACTATGATGGGACAAAAGGTGGAATTACAATGAGCAAAACAACTTTTTACCAGGAAAAGTACATTATTTCACAAATTTTCACGATTGTAATAGGTCGCAAAAAAGTCCTGAAAATCTCCCACGGTCATGGAACACGTTAATTGTATTCTGCGATTGTGGTAGAACCCAGAACATCTTCCGCAATCGCAGAAATATCACAGTATCGCACGATCACAGAAACTTCATCGTCGTCATTCACGATCGGGGTAAAATCGTGAATTTCTTATAATTTATTTCCATAGCCCCAGGGTTGTTATGACAAATAATGGGTCAACATACCTCGCCAGACAATCCTTGACAAGGCGCAAGTTTCAAACTATACTACTTGTAAAGGGATTGTCTGACGAGGTATGTTTGGACATTATTTGTCATAAAACAAATTATGCTTTATGACCACTCGTACAACTTTTTAGAAATGTGTAGCTTTTAAAAGGACCTAAGGTCAGATATCCCGATAAGGAGGTTATTGAGGGGTTTTACTAAATGTAAAATTCCAATAGCTAGCTTACCATCATAGAAAACCACATACAACTCAAATATTTAAAAATGATTCTTTAAAAACTCACTAACGAAATTTATTGGAAAACATTGTATGCCAAATACTAACATATTATTCTAAGAGTTTAATTTAAAATGTGTTTAGGAGGAACTACTATTTCTAATGAGAAAACAAATACCCCCGCCCCAGCAAACCTGCAGACTAAGCGAATTTCAACACTAATACTAATATACGACAGAAATCAGGGTGCTCATTATTCTTAACCTGTCGCCTGGTTATACTTGGCAGTGTCCTCATAAAAATAGCTGATAGTTCCCTTCATTGAACAAATCCAAATTCTATCAAACGATTAGTCTATATTCATTCAAATTTCAGATTCACAACTTTAATGTCTAAAAAATTAATATATTCATAATATATGAAATATCATTAATTTCCAGATATGAAATGCAATGAGACACAGTTCACATGTCTCAGTGGCCAGTGTATAGACTTGTCCCTAAGGTGTGATTTGGTCTACCACTGCTACGACCGATCAGATGAACACAACTGTCGTAAGTAGATACCAATACTAACAGTAATCAGTATACTTCCATCAATCGTTATCAGTTTAGCAGCCCCGTTATCTCCCAGGTGTGCCAATATGCCTTTTACCACCTGTTAAAAACTCCCTCTGAAAGCATTATTTTCTTTTCAGCTTTAGGCATTCCTTCATAATGTCTCGCTATTCTCACCGTTGTCTTCTAACTGTCCTATCCTCGCCAATTTCTCCCTACATCCATATTTCAGCGACTATATTCCCATCATCCGTTTACACGTGAAGTCTTGCCATTTAGATTCTTTGCAACTCAGTCACTTCAATCTGTTGTATGATATCTTTTTTTGTGTTCGATCTCCTGTTTTTAACACTTTTTCAGGAATTCCATCTCTCAAGTATTTGTGTTTTATTGTCAGCAAGCTCTGACAGCACTAGGTTTTCATTAGATTAAACTGTGTATGTTAGAGAAACATATATATTCAAAACACTGTACAAACTGTACTTATTATTTGTTGATATATTTTTTAAGTTAAGTAAATTGCAGAGGTTGTTTAGTAAGATTAATTGTTGTTATTTTGTTTGATAAAGTTTAGGTATATTGTTTGGTAGAGTGAAATACGTTGTTTAGAGTAAATTCAACAACTTACTTTTCTGAGGACTATGATTGGCATGAATGGCTGTAAATCTACCTATATTAAACACCATTGTTCACTTATAGAGTATCATAATCAATACATTTATCAGCTAAGATTCATAAAAAAATCACACGTTTCAGAGCAAATTTTCAAACATAAAAACATACTCTCTTAACAAACTTATCTTTGATTTTTTACATATAAAATTTCAAACAGTATCTGACTGGTAGTTGAATAGTTATAATAGAACGTCCTTATTTGGTGATTCCTTTATGTTATGTGAAGACCACAAAGTTGTCGCCCTAATTTTCTGTCTAAGATTCATGTAATCATGTATTATTCATTCAATCGCTTTGTTAGAGGCTCTGTAAGTTCTAGAACACCCTACAGGAGCTCATTGTTTGTGAGAACAAAGCCATAAGACGCCCTTATTATGTGCATACATTATCGTATGCAACTACCTAATTTCCTTCGCTCTTATAATTTTACATACACCATTACATATAAAAATTGCGTTTATGTTGTAATTTGAAGTCCAATATTTATTGAAATGTAACTGTACTTCCCACCTTAAATTGGGCAGTACTTAAAAAAGTAAAAATTGTATTTTCATAGTTGACCCACAAACCAAAATAATAATTTTGATTAGTTTATCAAATGAGTAGAGTTGTAAGAAGTATTAAACGTAGTAAAAATACCCTTAGGTAATTTTTTAGTTAATGTTATTTACCTCCACTTTAATGGATGGATATTTTAACGTACCCAGAGATTAATTTTAACAATCTAAAACTACAAACACGATGAACTTCATTGGCCGATTCAGTTACTCAGTCTTTATGTTAATCTTAGTTTGTTGGCTTCTCATCACATAAATTAAATTAAAATTACACACAATTTACTAAAAAAATGTTGCGGTATATTTCGAGTTTACATCAAAACCCATCTTCAGCCTCTGGTAACAACATATCAAGTAAATAAACTATGATACGGAAAATAGTTTTAAAAACCCCGGCCATTGACTTATTTCAGTAATAATAATATTATTATTATTGTTAATAATATTATAAGTAAGTAATAATTACATAATAATATAATAAATAATAATACAATGCTTGCATAAACAAAAAATTGATCCATAACTCAACAATAAGTATCACCGTGGGTACACAACCTCGTGTAACTTTTAGAGTGCGATTCCCGCAAATTAGTTTTTTAACATTTTTAACTACTAAATTTGATATATCTTTAAAACGGTTTATGCTACATGATTCAAATTTTTACCAAGTGATGAGAATGTTATTATCTAAATAATTAGGTAGAAAATTGTAAATGTATGTCTATTCTAAAGTAAAAAAAGATTTTTTAATTTCCACAGAAAACCAATTTCTTTTTTTAAAATTACAAAATGACCCATAAAAAAGTAATAAATCAATATACTGTTATAACTCTACCAAAATATTTAGAGGGCATTATTCCCTGCAAACTGATGGTTTAATGATTAAAATCCAATAATTAGAACTGAAGTTATATCAAATTTAGTTAATTACCTAAAAAAAAATATTAAGAGTGTACTTAACGGAAAAAAATACTTTAAACTATGTTTATTCCTATTCTTATGCCTATAAAACACATGGTATAAGTTTGAAAAACCTAGTGATAATGTTAAGGAAGTGAGAATTTTCACTGCCATATCTTACAATAGCACCATCAATTCTTCATTAGACATTAACATGTCACAATATTTTATCAAATGTATCCCTAAAAGAAAATTAGAGCTGAAAGTACACAGTGGACGACATTAACGTGTTTCCTCTGTACCTTATTTCTCTGTGCTGTTGTACAGATGACACGCCATGCCCGCCAGCCACTCAACGATGCCTGCTAGGAGGCCAATGTCTACAGGAGACCAAATGGTGCGACTACTATCTGGACTGCCTAGATGGATCTGATGAGGCTAATTGTAGTAAGTATGCAACAATACGACACAGTAAGCACCCAAGTCACAAATAAATTACTTTTTAAAAGCTAAGGTCATGTTGTATGAATAAAATGTTCTATCTTTGACTGTAAATAATCTACAATGGAGTTGATACTCTTAACTCAATAATATGAGTACAGTATGTTGATTCCGAATAACAATTCCATTTCTTTCACAGTGAGAGTGTGTTATTGAGAAAAACATGAATTTTTCTTGAGCTGTTGACAAGGTGTGGTGTTGGTTTTTTGTTTATTTAGAGAGTTATTGCATTATCAAATAGATAAATATATTGGTGATAGATAAATCAGTATTAGGACGCTCTATGAAAAGCTCATTCAACAATGTTTTTTTTTTAAGTAGTTACATCTGGCCTACAAAGATGGGATGTTTTTAGAACCTATCTCAAATCAATGCTACAATAGTTTTGTGCAATTGTAACGCAATGGGTATCAGTTACTTCATCATTGGAGCAATTCTAGTGATCCAATAAGTGTTCGTGTTTATTCATAATTCTTAACATTAAGTGTGTAGTATGTACTTGACAAAAGCTTTTATCTCATTAACAATCCTTAAGCTTTAACAGGACGTAATTATTTAACAAACCAAATCCTTAAGTGTAAATCCTTAAGGATCCACATTCAACGGCACAACTTGTTTTAAACGTTGAGTGGTCCGGTTGTCAAGTTAATATGACCGCTGTTCTGGTTTTAGCCAATCTAATTTTCAATTCTACTCGAGCCTTGTTGAATAACCCAATATCAGGATCACTCGAACTCGATCACTCGACAGTTACAACAGGGCAATTTTAACTTTTTATTTATATTTCGTTTTTACCCCAGGTACTGTTCCGTGTCAACCAAGAGACTTTGCCTGTGATAACGGACAATGTGTCAGCGGACATCTCAGATGCTATAGTGACGGCAAGTCAAGAAGTGGTTGTGCTGATAATTCACACCTCAAAAACTGCAGTAAGCATATATATATAACTAGCTGTACCCACGGGCTTTGTCCCGTTTAACTTCATAAGTATTCGCATGGCTCAATCACGTCCCGGTTGAAGTTCGTTCGCTACGCTTACTCGCCTCCAGGTTGATGTTCGTTCGCTACGCTCACTCACCTTTTGGTTGCAAATTAGCTGTTCATAACATGCTGTCATACATTTAAAAAAGTCATCCCTTTTATTGTTTATAATACAGTACTTTTATAAAGGTTTTTATGTTTTAATATTTAACATTGGAGAATTTAAACGTTGTTAAGTGCACAGGTGTGCTGCGATTGGGATTTAATACATTCGGACTTATTTAAAAGTAAAATAGTTTTCTGTCCTGCAATCTGTAGAAACACTGTGGCACTATTTCAAATCATGACTAATGCTAATACAGAATGTTGTAGTTATTCAAACGTACAAAACAGTTGGTGAAAGTAAACATCTGCTTTTAAATTATATTTATTTGTAAACATTCTAGATCAAAAAGTCTGACATTGGCCCACTTAAAACCCTCTGGGGCAGAGCCCTTTTGACGGATCTGCACCAAACTTCACTTGAACCATCCTTAAAAGATGCTTAATAATGCCTGAAAGTTTCATTACAATCTGTCGAGCGGTTTCGGAGTCTATAACGTATATACACATATATATAGATACATAGTTCCTCTTTTATAGATATAGATTATATATATATATATATATAATTATATTAATGATAATTCTATTATCAAAGGAATTATTCATATTCTGCCAACACATAATAAAGAATCGGTCAAAACGATTTATTTGTATATAAACAACAAAACTACATATTTTACATGTCTTAAACAAGAACGGAGAGTTTACTTCAACAAACCACTAACACATTTTATGTTGTATGTAAACCATAATTGATATTTGGCATCGAATAACCATATTGCAAGCTCTAAAACTATTTCAACATGAACAATATAATGGCCAGACTAAAAGATTGGTTGATAATGATAACAATACCAGTTACTCTACAGTATACCTCGGCCCTATAAACCTTCCTCTTACCACTACCAAATCACGCACATTTCCTGTCGTTGTTCAACTCTACTCCAAGGAAGCTAACTACCTCGTCAAAGTGCACAATATTACCTTAGCTGCATATCACAGCCAGCTTTTTATTTTATTTAATATATCTAATTATAATATAGTGAACAGAGAAATAAATATACAGGACTTATTCTGATTCGTGAAAAGTAACTAGATTATAGCAAATGTGAATTCTAAATTTGGGATATTAATTACCACACCACGACCATTGGTGAACCTGATAAATTACATAATTAAAATAAGTTTGCCCTTGCCTACACCCTTTCCCAACCCCTATATACTTAACTACTCATAGTCATAGTCTTAATGCTACTACTTATCCGGATGTTTAATTGTTAATGGGACCATGCACGACACACTACTACTCTATTCTGACTCTCGCCGCACGTGCTTTTCTCGGGGAAACTGCGCGCGTACACCTAACTGTGTCACGTGACTTGCGCCAATGTCTTGTAGCGAGTCACTACAATTAAATAAAGCCATTTCAACAACTATTAAACCACCGCCATTCTTTTCACTAAGCCATGTGCTGTATGCTTAAAACTATCTATCTTTATTGTTTCAGTTTTGTGTGGAAGATATTAAATACCTAAACATTGAGTTGAGTTGAAGTTCCTAAGGCTATAATCTAATAAGCCATATCAGCAATCTGATTCATTAATCCCCATCATGGGTAAGAGATCCATGATATTTATGGGGAAAATCGTAAAAGCTGCAATCACTTTTGAACCTTAAAGTTTACAAAGTAGGTTGTATGATTTTGTTTTATGTTTAAGGGTTGAATTAAATTTTAATCAAAATTGTTGACGACTTTAGTTTGAAAATCCAATATTATGTTACTTTAGGGTCCTATGGGAAAATCATGATTAAAAAATCAAAATAGCCAACTAAAGCTCTATTGGATTGTTCTTCTTCAGATTTTTATTGGCTGGAAGGAATTTTAAACTTTACTTTACACTTAATTTACTGGGAAAAATATTTTGTGTGCAGTGTAAATACCTTAAACATCTAATATCAGTATGCCATTGTAGCGTTTTCATGTGGATTATTCTATCAGACAGTGCTTTACTGTACAAAGCTTAAAAATAGGCGTATATTGATTCTATAACTTTTTTCATAGAGAACTGGACTTGCAGTGAAGACCAGTTCAAGTGCCGCAGTGGTCCGTGTGTCTCTCGCACTCTACTGTGTGACAACAATATCGACTGTCCAGAGACTTGGGATGATGAGGACTTCTGCCGTAAGTTTTAATATATATTATAAAAAACAAAAAGATTTGGTGTTGCCTTGCCACAGGGGAATGAATATAAAGTAGAAACTTCCTTTGAATAACAATCATAAAGTAGGTCCAATATCTTCCTATTGATGTAATGTTTTAATAGTATTTTGGGGTAGTTTGGTTTTTGAAATAATGGAATTTGAAATAAATCTTGTTGAATTTTGAAACCAAGAGTAGATGGTGAAACTCACTCAATATCCACAATAGCTAGTGGACAATATGTGGGTGATATATGGTTATTTTTTGTATGGATGAATTATTTTAATTGTCTTGAGCCAGATGCCAGATCCGTTTGGCCAAGTCTGGGGGGGGAATGCTTAATCTATGTTGTACGATTTTGTCTAAAATTCTTGTTTGTACGCAGCGTTCCAGTGTTCTCGTCTACTACCGCAATGTGAGTGTCAAGATGTCCACATCAACTGCACGGCCCGTGGTTTAACAGATGTTCCAGCTGATGCTGAACCTGAGATCACCTGGTTGTAAGTACAGCTGATTCTGATAGAAAAATTAACATTTTTTTCAGAAACATCTGGAACTTTACAAATTGTTGATATGCACATTAAACAATTGACTTAGGCTAGGCGCACACGAGCGATTACATATTTCGAGGCGACTATTTCATCTGCCGATCTGTGCATCATGTATTTGAATGGAAGCGCGCACACAGGCGATCGAAAATTGCGCCGATTTTAAAATCTGGGTTTTGCCACAGATTCGTAGGCAAGGCGATCGTTGCCCGAAAATCTGTAACGTACAGATTGTTATCAGTCCGCGCACACGGTCGACTAAAAAATCGACCAGTCGCTTGTTGTTCTCCACAGGAGTCAGTGAACTTCAGTGTGAGTTGTGTTGTTTTCTTTGCTAAAAAAGGCCACAGCTGTTATAATAAAAACTGAAACTTTCAACAGACATTCTATAGTAATTAAAGAACTTTTTACTGTCATCACGTTAAGTGTATAGTTTATAAAAATGTCGATTTAAAAGTCTTACTATCGGATGAACCCAATATTTCAGTTTTCTTCTTTTTTCTTTGATCTAATTAGAAGATCACAAACACAGTTTAATTCAACAAAGTCCATTTTAGGATAGCTTAAACACACTCAAAAAATCAATTTCCCGACTAAAAAGTCGCTACGTGGGCGCAGACATAAATCAAAGGCGATTTATTTTTGGCCGATTTTTTTATCGGCCGATTGAAAAATCGACCGTGTGCGGCCAGGCCTTAAATTAAATCGCATAGAAAAGAAACTACTATATTTTCAAATCTGTACTTACTGTTTAGCCACCACAGTCTTTTCCATAATCTGTCCTGTAAAAGGATACATGCAATAGATGTGAATTCACAAGATGATAAAATTTATTATTTGGTATAACAGTGGTTATTGTGGTTATTTTGAAAAAATTAATATTGTTTCAGTTACTTGGGCAGCAACAAACTAAACGAGACCCTGAACAACAGTTCTTTTCTTCAGCTTGCTAGACTTCTGTATCTGTAAGTAATGGACCTAGACTGCAATTAAGATACACAAAATTGCAAATGTACTAAACACTACAGTAAAAGAAATTATAAAAAGGCGAATTATAAATTTTACATGCGAAAAGTATATAGAAATTTATATGAAAATATATACAAAGATACGAAAAATTAGATACGTTTTACAGTGTGTATTTTTGTGCCACCCTGAATGAATCATAGAATTTTGGAGCTCTTTATGTCCTGAGATGCCCATTTAAGTACCCCTCTGCATTGATAAATTGCTTATTTTGTCAACTATGGAAATGTTTTATGAAGTCTAACTGAAATGGCATCATATTGTGAACTGCTGCATCTTTTATGTGACGTTAACTCTTTATTATTGTAAAGCCAGAAAACTTTTGAATGTTGACTGTAGCACATCCCGTGAGTGGCTCGTGTAACTATGTTCTTTTTGTATTGATCAGCTTGTGGGCTTCACTCACCTTAATTTGTTAATCCAGGACTCGTCAAATGTAACACAACGAAGACACAAACACACATACACGCACATAAAAATCGTCCTTGGATTAATTTACTCCGACTGTTACGAATGGAACTGACAAAAAAACAATGAGTACTTAGTGAAAGTAGTGACAATAATTTATTTGAACCATTTTGACTAACACACCTTCCTTTAAAGCCAACATAAAACTCAACTCTTTTGTTTTCAATCTCTCCTTTAAATTAATAACATGTGTTTTAATTATTAGTAAGCATACAATATTAACATTGACAACAGCTGGCAATTACCAGTAAGTTTAACCATTGACTATAGGTTAAACCAACACAGCATATATAACATCCTCCCACCCAAGTTAATTAACTTATGGTTGATTAACTCGTACTTTGGATCGTGTACTTCTTCTTGTAACTAATTTTCTCTCTTCGTTAGAGTTTATTTCCAATGGGTATAAACGTTGTACTGGGCGAATCAATTCATTGGTTGGTGTCTTCAATCTTACTGTGCGCACAATTCCATCTCTTCCTTTCATTACTTCAATAATTCTGGCAATCACCCAGTTTATCCGCTTGTCAAAGTCATTACCTATGAGTACTATTTCCCCCACTTCAGGTTCTCGGTAACTTTTGACATTATTATGGTGTGATAATTGACCAAGATACTCGATTCTGAATCTTGACTTCAGTCCTTCTCTTATTTTCTTTCTGTATACAGCTTTCTTCGGTAAATTGATCTCCTCTATAGCGTCTAAGTCGGGTTGTCTTACATCGCTTATATCTTTCAAAAACATTGATGGAGTAATGGGACTCAACTCATTCAGATCATCTGACATGTAAGTAAGCGGTCGGGAATTGATAACACTTTCACATTCACACAATGTAGTTGACATTTCTTCATAGTTCAAACTAGTTTTCTTCAAAACTCTCTTCAATAGATCCTTTAGTGATCGTCATGGTGAATTTGGTGGAATGAATTTCCACTCAATTCTAGAAACTTCCTGTATGTTTTCCCAATCCAGCTTCTTAAACAGACTTTCAGTTCCAGTGAAATTCGTACCGTTGTCTGAAAATATTGTATGTGGTCTGCCCCTTCTGCTTATGAAACGTCTCAATGCCTGTAAGAATGCATCTGTAGACAGTGCCAGGGTAAGTTCAAAATGAACTGCTCTCACGATAGCACAAGTAAAAATACAAATATATGCTTTGAGGTTTCCTTTAAGATAAACTGGACCTGTCATATCTATCCCGCAAACTTCAAAAGCTACAGGATCACGAAGTCGATCGAGTGGTAAAGTTGCAGTTGGAGCTTCAAATCTTTTTGATGAAAACCTTCGACAAATCACACAATGTTTTATTACAGTCCTCAACGTCCTCCTTCCTCCTAAAATCCAAAACCTTTCTCTCAAAATGCTCAGCAACCCTTGTACTCCAACATGACAAGAATCTTCATGGACGTGTCGAATGAGACGCAAAACAACAGGATGTTTGGATGGTAGTAATATAGGTTGTCGAAAATCAACTGAATCTTCTCGCTGCATTACCTTTGTCTTCAATCGTATAAGTCCTTGTTCGTCATAAAAATATTCAAAGTTGCGCAAAACTTTCAAAGATTCACCAACGAAGCTATCTTGTTGAACTAGCTTTAACAAGTACATCTCAGCAGTGCAGAATTCACTAATAGTCAAAGGGCCACAAATATTTTGCTGTCTACAGTTATTAGTAAAGCGCAAAATCCAAGCTAAACATCTCACCAACATTTTGTACTTGGAAAACCGCCTGTAGTACCAATTACTTTCACTTTTACACTCAGTATTTGTCATTGAAGATGATACTACTTTACATTTTTCAGCATTTATCTCTTCTTCATTGCTGGATGTAACTTCGGTAGGCCATAGTTCTTCTGGTTGGTATAACCATTTGGGACCCTCCCACCAACGCACTGATAATAGTTTTTTGGCGTTGCAACCTCTTGATGGTAAATCCGCTGGATTTAGCTGACCAGGAACGAATCTCCATTGGTTTCCATCGCATATACTTCTGATTTCATTGACTCGGTTTCGTACAAAAACAGTCCAATTCTCATTCCTTTTTATCCATGCCAAGCAAGTGGTAGAGTCACTCCAAAATGTGGTTTCAGCATTCTTGAACATATCCGTGCTCTTCACTATAGATGAATAAAGCCTAGCACTTATCGTAGCACCCAAAAGTTCCAGTCTAGGTATGGACATATTTTTTATTGGTGCGACTCTTGACTTCGCTTGAATCAACTGAACATTTACACCGAAAGATCCTTCCACTCTCAAAAAAGCTGCTGTGGCATATGCGTCCTGACTCGCATCACAAAACATATGAATAGTCAAGTTCGTGATCTGGTTGCTACCTAACAACCAACGTGGAATTTTGATGTCCTTTAAAAAAGCTAATTCTTTCTGCCAATTGACAATATCTTTCCGAATATCTCCCCCAATTTCCTCATCCCATTTGATTTTAGATTTCCACAGTTTTTGAAGTCTAAGTTTGGGAGTAAGAGTAACTGGACTAAAAAAACCTATGGGATCAAACACCTTTTGAGCTAGAGATAGTATATTACGTTTTGTAACAGTCTGTAAAGGCTCACCAATATCTAAACTAACACCAAGAGTGTCATGTTCCTTATTCCATTCCAAACCTAAAACTTTGGTGACACAGGGTTGTAGATCTTGATTGTTTGACTCCCACCCTCTCAAACAAAATGAACCATCAGCCATAATTTCTGTTCCTTTCTCAATAAACCGACTTAATTCTTCTTCTGAATCTACACTTGTGACACAATTGTCCACATACAGACTCTGGCTTAATGTGTTAATAACATCTATTTCGTTTTCAAATGTTGCTTTAGACCGTTCAAGATGATGAGTTATAACTGCACTAAGTAGAAAAGGACTACTTGTCAAACCAAATACTACTCTACAATGTCTCAGCACTTGTAAATCCCCTTTGTCATTCACCCACAAGAATCCCAAATAATTCCTGTCATTTTGATGGATACTTATTTGCAAAAATGCTTGCTTAATGTCTGATATCACTCCAAATTTCCCTGCTCTAAACCGATTAATTAAATTTGGTATTTTCTGGATCATGTTGGTTCCTTTTTCGAGACAATCATTTAAAGAAGGCTTACCTTTAACATGTGCTGAAGCATCAAATACGGGCCTCACTGGTGTAGTCACACTGTCCTTGAGAACTGCTCTATGCGGTATGAAGTGCTTGATGTGATCTACCTCGTCACTGGGAACTGATTCAATGATTCCTTCAGTCTGCCAACTTCTAAACACTTGTTGATACTTACTGAAGTAACCACCATTTTTAGTTTTGTCAATCGTCGATTGAAGCCGTTTCTTTGAAAGTTCCAAGTTATTAGGAAGCATGTTACAATCCTCGACCCAAGGTAAGCACACTTCATAACGACCTTCGTTGTTTACACTCACCGTATTCCTAAAATGCTCTAGTGTCATCTCGTGTAACTCTTCTTTTGACTTCTGTTCTACGGGATCAGTAATACCAAGTGTCTCTAATTTCCAGAACATCGAAATATCCTCAGAGGGATCACTAAAAGAAAACATACTAACACATGATGTATTGCATTCTGTCTTACTGTTATCAGTTTCCACAACACTAGATAAGCGACCCATTAATGTCCAGCCTAGAAAGGTTTCCATTGCTACAAGTCCACTATTCAGCTGAACTTTGTTACCTGTGAACAACTTACCAGCAACATCTGCACCAATTAATACTTCAATTTTTGTATCTGATTCAGCCACATCCGAAAGAACAATGTTAGCAGCTTCTATTTCCTTAAGTTCTGGGCCTCTCCTAATACTAGGGATATTGTCACTTATAAGAGGTTGATCTAAAACCTTGAACCTACACTTATAGTCATTATTCAGATTGGCAAGAATGATTTTAAACGTGTTATGTGAAACAACATCCGTCTTAACACCTCCAAAAAGTGAATGAGTTAAACTCTCTTGTCCCTCGGGATACATACCAATTTCAGATGCTGTGGACTCAAGAATATAAGATCTCATCGAACCTGTATCAATTAAGGCTCTAACAGGACGAATCAAACCTTCATGGATCAGATTGACCCTCAATGTCTGCAGATAAATCTGAGATTTTGTTTGTTGTCCTAAGTTAGATAGATCTTTGACCTCATTACCGGTACTCCTGTTTGATTTTACTTGCAATCCTTGTTCCTTATTACACATCAAAGTAGGGTGTTTGCGGTAACAAATACTACATTTTAAAGGCCTTCTACAGAATTTAGATGTATGTCCCTGAAATAGACATGTAAAACAAGCTTTTTTATCCAAAACAATTTGTCTCTTTTTACTAAAATCCATTTTCTTGGCCTGCAGGCAATCTGCACTTTTGTGAGCTTCTGAACAGAATATACAATTTAACTCTTTTGACTTGTTAGTCAAGCAAGATGCTGAAGGTATATTGTTTGATGTTTTATCAATATTACTTCTAGGGCTTACCCTTTTACTCGTACCGTAACCAGTCTTAGCCAAAACAATTCTTTCTTCACCTTCGACTTCTGATTTGATGAACTTCCGCAATCTTTTCAATGTCTGCTCTTCTGATTCTGATGATTCTTTATTTTCTCCATCTGAAGACAAACTGCATCTCTGCCAAGCTCTAAGAAGATCATCTGGTAAGCAGGACTCTACTAAAGGCAACAAAACACAAGCACATTTATCTGTTGTTACCTCTAAGCTTTCCAAGGCTCGTAGTTGACATTCTAATTTGTCGTAAAACTGCATCAGAGATAAACTATGTTCTGTGTTTTTCAGTACCAAAGCTAGCAGCTCCCTAACATATACTTGTACTAGAAGTCCGTCCCGCCCAAATCTACCTTTAAGTTCCTCTAGAGCCTTAGGATAATTATCTGCTGTTGGTGGAAAACTCTTTACTACTTCATATGCTCTAGACCTAGGAATCATACTTTGTAACAAGTATTGGAACTTTTCTGCAGCATTTAAGGTCGGTTCCCTATCTATTGTTTGAAAAAGACTCCAGAAATGTAGCCAGTCCTTCGGATCTCCACCAAATTTGATCAATTCTACTTTTGGAAGTCTTACTGTGTTGTGCTTAGGTACTAAAGTGCTGTTGTTACTTACAGAATCGCCGAGAGAACGAGCTTCATCTTCTAATCTGTTACTTACTCGCAACTTGTATTTAATTAATCCATAAGCCTTCTTGTATTCATCCTGTTTTGCTAGTTCAGCTTCAATTTCTTCATCAGGTCGTTCTACAAGCATTAGATTCAATACTTCTTTATCAATTTCTTCCAACTCATTGTATCTTTGTTCTAATACGTCATAAAGAGCATTAGCTTCATCTAATTCTTCTTGACAAACTTCATTGAACTTTGATACTGATCTACTAAATGTTGTTCTAATTGCCTTCCTTCTTTTTAACAAGGCTTCCATGGTTCAAATAAAATCTATACTTTTCCAACAAATAACTTACTTCCACCAATGCCAACACGTTGGACGCCACAATGATACGAATGGAACTGACAAAAAAACAATGAGTACTTAGTGAAAGTAGTGACAATAATTTATTTGAACCATTTTGACTAACACACCTTCCTTTAAAGCCAACATAAAACTCAACTCTTTTGTTTTCAATCTCTCCTTTAAATTAATAACATGTGTTTTAATTATTAGTAAGCATACAATATTAACATTGACAACAGCTGGCAATTACCAGTAAGTTTAACCATTGACTATAGGTTAAACCAACACAGCATATATAACATCGACGTTTCGCGGGACCAAGAATTAATCCAAGGACGAGCTAAATTAATCCAAGGACGATTTTTATGTGCGTGTATGTGTGTTTGTGTCTTCGTTGTGTTACATTTGACGAGTCCTGGATTAACAAATTAAGGTGAGTGAAGCCCACAAGCTGATCAATACAGTATAAAAACCTCGCCTAAAAAACATGTCTTTCAAAAATATGTTCTTTTTTAAAAAAGATTTGGCTACAGCTAGTCCACATATGTGGAATTTCATCTCCATGACCTAAAAGGTTAATGGTTACACTAACTCGTTTCAAACTAAAGTGTAATCAGTGGCGGCCCTAGAAATTGCAGGGCCTGAGGGGAAGTTCAATAGTGGGTCTCTCTTGATATCCTAAATACAGCTGTGCCCTGATATGTGCGGGGCCCCATGCACAACCTTGTTCACCTTTATGTAGGGCCATCTTTGATTTTAATGTCAATCTTCATTTGCCATGTATTTTAGTACAGTGACTGTCTACAGTTCGTCACCATTTGTACTGTACATCGGGAGTTAGGGATGAGTGTTGTAAATAACGAACACAAGTTACATATTAACTGCTCAGAGGTCCGCAAAGGATACGGTGTTTACTGGGCTAAGACATGGTGTAGACTGGCGTGACGAGAGGGGATTTAGGAGAAAGGTGGTGCGATGTAGGACATCATGGGAATAGTCATGAGCTCCTTTATTTGAAACATCACCTGATTTTGCATACTGCCAACATGATCATAGATTATGGTAACATTACGGTACGAGTATCAAACTATGGTAACGTAACATTATGGTACAAATTATCAGAATATGGTACAGATTGTTGTGGTTAGGTTTGACAAACTTTGTTGTCTTCCAGAGATCTGAGCAACAACAGCGTCACTCAACTTCCCCCCAGTATGTTTGTTTCTCTGTGGCGACTTACTGTGCTCGACCTACATGATAATCAGCTGACCTGGCTGGCCAATGGGACCTTCAACGGACTGGCTAGCCTCAACGGATTGTGAGTCCTGTGATTATTATTTACTGTAGAAATGAACAATTCAATTAAAACAGCCTCCAGGCAATAGATTCACTATTATGTCAAGTAACACTAGTGTAAAACATTTTCCGGACAGACTGATGCACCCATTATTCTTCCTTAAGAAGGATTTGATGCTTAAATGCAAAAAATACTAATTTAGTAAATTTAAAAATTTCCAAAATAAAATAATCAAAGACCCATATTATTATCAACATATAAACATACGTTGAAAAGAAAAAAGTGTAATTTTTTAGCTTTAATATAGCAACTCTTGAATTGGGTGGGCATTAGAAATGGTTTTGCCCATTCAATTTTAAATAACTTCTTTATTATAGCATCATATGTGCTATTAAATCACCTTAAAGTACAACAATATGTCAAATAACACTTGTAATAACTGTATTTACACTTATACTGATTACTCAAAAGGCGGTAAATAGCCTACATATAAAAGATGGTTAAGTGGTGATCGATTTTGATTGGACACTCCAAGGGTAAAAATATTTATTTCAAGTGTTATTTGACATATTTTTGTACTTCCATTCAATTTTAATTAAAATAAACTCAAGTGTGTGCTTTTGTTTAAATGGAAATGAGTAATTTTGATTCACAAATTTTAAAATTAGTAATTTTTGCCCATGTGCACATTATATAATATCTATGGTGCACTCTCTCATTCTTTTTTGTGTTTCTCTGTACCAATCAATAAAAAAAATGTAAATGGATAGGTATGACTAGGTATTTTGATACATATACGTGCATCAGTTCTCCTCTACCATACATGACTTCCACACTACATCATTTAGAAGCAATTTTTTTAAATCATTGTGTGTGTGTGTAATTTTAACCTTAATATTCTACCATATGGAGGTCAAAACAAGCCCCATGTTCAGAGAGAGTCCATTAGACTGGATTTTCTTCCTTGCATAGCTGTATCTTCAGTAGTATAGGCTAGGGTAGTTTTTGAATGAAATAATGGCATGTTTCTAAAGAAAAGTTGTACGAACCCTTCAGTTTTTGTTTTGTTTTTTTTTTTTTGGGATGGGGGGAATGTACCAGGGATTAAAACTGTTCCTCTCACACTGAGGTTTGAGAAAGACATATTGTACTAGAGAAAACACATTGCAAAAAAATAATGCCTGTTCGTAGAACATTCTCCCTTAACATACACTGAAAACAGAAATGGCTATAGATTAGAATGAATAAAAATTACAAAAAAAATTTTAGTAAACAACTATACAAAGGTAATAATAAATTATTTTACAGGCACCTCCAAGGAAACAAAATTGAAGCAATTGAATCTTACGCATTCTACGGCCTGACTTCTCTCAAAACATTGTAAGTATATCTGTATAAATTTTTTTTATGTCCTGTCAAATTCCTTAATTTTTTTATATTGAATGCATTGTCTTATTCAAGGTTATTCGTAACTATAACTAGTTGGTAATTGCGTTTTGCAGGGATCTTTCCAACCAAAGAGTCTGTGACATTCAGCCCGATGCATTTGTTGGCCTTCGGAGTTTAACTGGACTGTGAGTAATTAATTAGTTTATGGAAATTTAAGAATAAAGTCAATTTTAACACATTAACAATATATTGTCGTATAACATGCAATTTACCCTTGGTAATATAATGGACGGATATTTTAGATGAATACTTCAATGACAAAATTAAAAATTAAACACAATGTTAACTCTTATCCTTGACAAAAACAACATGGAGAAAAACATTCTGTGTTTTAAAGTCCAATTGCAAAGGAAACTATACAGTATTTTTGTTTTAGTTGTGCCCTTTGAAAGTGGGCACTATATCAGAAATCAGAAATTCTTTATTGTCCTTAAGCAAAACAATCTTGCAATAGACATGGTCACATATTATGGTAAAATAGGGTTACACAGTAACCCAGTCAGACTAGATTAATAAGCTAATATCACAGACAATAACAGGTAAAAATTTAAAAGTAAAAAGAAGGCTGTAGGCTAGGTGGAGAATAGGCTATACTAGACTAGATAAACTATTAAACATCAAAACATAACAACTTTTTATATCAAAAAACTCTTTAATCACATATAAAAAGGATGTTCAACAAGCCAGTTGTATAGCCTATCTTTAAAAACCAACTCAAGGGCAACGCCCTTGACTCAGAGTGCAATTCATTGAATAACTTTAAGCTCATGATTGAATGGTTACTGGAACATTTACTTAGTCTATGGGGTGGAAACTCAAGTAGACAGTGCTGAGATCTAGTGTAATGAGAATGGAAATCTTTTCTAATATAATCTTTCCAAGTCTTCTATTTTTAATTTAATATCAATTAAACACACATATATGTACAGGTTAATGACAGTCAATATCCTAGTTTTGATAAACAAAGGTCTACAATGGGCTTTGAGTGCTGATTTGGTTACTATTCTAAGTGCCTTTTTTTAAAGTAACAAAATATATGCACTAAAATCTGTATACAGCCGCATAATTAATAGGTCCTAACATACCGTATAACTTATTACTTATAAATTAATAATTTTACCTTATTTTAGCTAATCTCTTGCTCTAATTATTACCTGAAATCACATTCCATCAAATCCTCCCCTCAACAGTACTGTATCACAATTGTATTAATATTTATCCATTTCAGAGACTTATCGAGTAACCAAATTTCCCATCTGAACCAAGGAGTTTTCTCGGGAATGCCGCACCTTCTGTTCTTGTGAGTATGTACGTATTCTTTACCGTACTTGGTTAGTTATGGGATAAGTGTTCTATCGTTAAAGACCAACGAAAATCTAAATTGTAAGTCAACATGAAATATAATTATAATCATCTTGTTGCTTTAAAAAATGAAACATTGCAATCACTTATATGCATTTAAATAAATGGGAAGGCTCTTTAAATCACTATAACATTACTACGAAAACTTTAACAAAGGGACACGACCAAGGCATATAAATTTAAGAACATTGTTTGATGGGTAGAATATGTAATGTACTAACTCCTTGTGTTAATGAATACGTTAGCCAGTGTCAGCTAGAACTAGAACCATTGAGTATTGGATACTGGACCAGCTCTCGCCAACTTTTTATTGCAAAAGATCATAGCTCTGATATTTCCCTAGTTCCATCAGGTTGAATTGGTAAAGACGTTTTGTGTATTCGACAGAGATAAGTAATTTACATTGGCACTATCTGTTAGTGGCTTAAATACACTACAACAATAACAATTTTGATTAAAAAACTGGTAACAAATTTAACATTAGAATTACTTGTCTAATTGTATCAATAATCAAAAGTAGAACCAATAATTAAAAGCCAAATAGCCGAGAAAATCTGTGCTTAGTTTTGAACTATTAAAAGCTACTGGGGTTTTCAGGATTGAACCAAAAACACCACAATCATATTGTTAGACAAGAACCATGAACACTTAGCTTATCAGATATTTTTCCATTCCATTTAGGGCCGCTTTAGAAAATGGGCCCAGGCCCAGGGGCGGAAGAATGTGTAGGTTCGATGGGGGTGCAAGGAACAGAAAAATTCTTTGCATGGAAAGGGAATGGGCAATATCATCTTTCGAGCCCATAGCACCTCACATGAAACCTGTGGGCCTGATTCCTTTAGTTTAAATTTCCTTTAGTTTTAATTTTTTAACATATTCAATTAAGCTGTATCAATAGTGTGAACTCGTTTCATGAGTTAAGAGCATTACGTACACACAAGTAGACTTTTGAATTAAGCTTTTATTTGTTTATCTTCTAAGTTCTTTAAACTCTCAGAGCAGAATATTTAACTTAAAACCAGCTTTACAACATTTGTTCAATCACCATTCTAAGTGATGTTGGTAGCTGTCTACAACATCGTAGTATATGGAACCTGTCACCTGATTCTCTGCCTAGGACTGGCCCGGGCCGTCCATATACCAGAACATGTCTCCTGATCCTCTGCCTAGGACTGGCCCGGGCCGTCCATATACCAGAACATGTCTCCTGATCATCTGCCTAGGACTGGCCCGGGCCGTCCATATACCAGAACATGTCTCCTGATCCTCTGCCTAGGACTGGCCCGGGCTGTCCATATACCAGAACATGTCACCTGATCCTCTGCCTAGGACTGGCCTGGGCTGTCCATATACCAGAACATGTCTCCTGATCCTCTGCCTAGGACTGGCCCGGGCCGTCCATATACCAGAACATGTCTCCTGATCCTCTGCATAGGACTAGCCCGGGCTGTCCATATACCAGAACATGTCACCTGATCCTCTGCATATAACAACTCTGAATGAAATGTACCATGTTGATTTAGTTAGAATCCTATTCAGCCCAGTGACAAAATCCTCCCTGCAAAAGAGCTAAATGTAAATTTGTTTGTTTTTGAAATGATTGAGTAAATTCCAAAAAATATTTTAGAGACATCAGCAAGAACCACATACGAGTGATCGAAGCCAATGTTTTCAGAAGCACCCCTTCTCTCGACAAACTGTGAGTAATATTGAAGTTCCTTAATTCTTATATTTTCCAACAATAGTATTATTTTGTTGGAATGCTGGTTTAAATGCCTGCTCCAATAATTAATTTTACAGCATTTTAGCATAGACAAATAGAATGAACATTTGTCTATGATTTTAGTCACGTTTTAAAACCTTACATGTAATAGAAATAGAATGTACCTAGGGTCATTAATGTATTGGTGCACCTTAATAGAATTCTATCTAGGGTTTGTCTTTTGAGTTTATATCAATTTACCATCTTAATAAATTTAAATTACAATACAATGTAAATGTTTCCATGTAAATGAAAAATTAATAACCTATTTTTTAGCTCTGATGTGAAATTAATCGTTCATTAAGCTTAATTTAGAATTTAGTTCTGTATATTGCAATTACTGAAAAATTGTGATTTTGGAAAAGGCAAGGAAAAGATAAAATTAATATACCATGGAAGCTGGAAGTGACTTGGTTGGACAGGATTATTAATGTGAGTTTTGCATGAATAAATTTTAAAATGAATAAGTTGATAATCTTCACAATAAATATGCAAATATGACTAAATTATAACTGCCTCATATGATTATTATGGATATATATGGGCACATTCATATCTATTCATCTTATGGTACCTACCTCACTGTGGGCCAACAGTTTTTATGCTAACAGGTTGCTAATAACCTGTTAAGTATATTGCATATGGTATATTGTTCAAGACTACAAGATCGCGCCACTCATCCTTCACTCATATTAGGGTTAAAATACAAATACGCACATAGTGATGTCTCCATCTTAAATAATTGATAATTGATTGATTGATTGCTTTTTACTTTACAAAAGAAGGCGGTGAGGTTAATTTGTAGTGTAAACAGAAGAACACATTGTAAGCCCCTTTCTGTGGGTCTTAACATTCTTACATTTCCATCTTTTATATGTTTTGGCAAGTTTGTTGTATGTAAAAGAAAAATTTCTCTCTTTAAAAAGATATCTGATATTCACAACTATTAAACTAGATCTAAAGATAAACTGTCCCAATAATATAAAGGCATAAGTATACAGCCACTCAAAACAGTTTTTAGTACCAAGGTTTTAAAATGTAAAATTTCTTACCTGCCTCCATCAAAAACCTGTGTTAGCGAATTTCCCTAAGGTGGCTTTGTAAGACCTAGGCAAAGGACCGATTTAATTTTTCATTTTGATGTACCAGAGGCCAAAAACACCACTTGTTCAAATTTATATATATACATATATATATATATATACATATATATATATACATATATATATATATACATATATATATATATATATAGAGAGAGAGAGAGAGAGAGAGAGAGGAGAGAGAGGAGAGAGAGAGAGATAGAGAGAGAGAGTGAGAGGGAGAGAGTTGTATATACGTGTCCGTGAACGCGTTAACTCGAGTAATTTTTCTCCGATTTTGATGAAATTTGGTTTAAATGTGTAAGGCGGGATACACTTTAATGAGTTAGCAAAGCAGTATGATCGGACCATGGGAAATGGGTTTTACGGGGGGTTTTATGAGGTAAAAATGGGTTTTTCTCATTTTTGGCCCTCAAAACACAAAATTTCCCAATTTCTCTCTTAGCCTTTTTAAAGAGCTTAAAAAAACTCATAATTTAGTATATCAAAGTGTTTTTGTACAATTAATTGGTAACAGAGAAAATTTTCAAAACTGGAAATTAAAAATCCCCATGTTATTCTTACGGAGAATATTGTAAAATGTTGTAGTTTGCTTGTTTATGGATATATTTTGATCATATTTGGCAAGTTTATTTATTTTATACTAAGCTATTAATATTTTACTAAAAACCGCACTTTATTAGATTCCTGGTAGCAGTAAACCTAGGTACTCGTAAAACTAATGTTATTTAAATAGATTTAATTGAAAATAAATTCAGACAAATGGTAATTCTCTGTCAGAAGGTTGGCTGCAGCGAGGGCATTTTGAAATTCAAACATGTCTTAAAAACTACTTTAACCCAGGCTTGCTTGTACAAACATGAAGAGTACTTTGGTTTAGAGTTTTAGTTGTTTTAGTTTTAATGCCAGAGCCATCATTATTGTTTTGTTTTTCATTTGGCGATTTTCATTATTTTTTTGGTTTTAACAACAATAAATCATTCATTTCATTTTATTTTTGCAACAGTTTATTACAACCTTTTTCATCATTAATTTTTCACATCATTTTGTTTATTCATTACTGTGTAAATTGGATACTTGTTATACTATATTGTGAAATATATATTTCAGGGTCACTGATGAGTTTCGATTTTGCTGTCTCGCTCGACATACAAGTCTTTGTCTGCCTCCTCCAGATGAGTTCAGGTATGAATAGGAGACCTGTAACCAAACTGGTGATGCTGATGACCTGAGAAACCCCCCTGGGAGAAATGTTAAATAGTTTTCTTATTATAGTATGTTTTAGTAAGCTGAATGCAAATTTAGTATCCATATAGCAATGATTTATTATAATTTAATATTAACATTGATCAGCTGGTTTATTGGTTTCAAAATAAATGTAAAGAAAAGAATGTGAGTTTTATTAGCAAAATAATTTAAACTGTTAATTTTGAACATTATATTAGAGAAAATAATTATCTCATTTCTGTTTGATAAGAATTATTTTACAGTTTTATAAAATCTCTTTAAGAATTCACTATGTGTAAGCAAAAGCTAGTTTACTATTTTATTATCTATATATTAATAGGCAATTTATATTATTAGGTGTAAGACGCGAACAACTTGAATGAGTTCGCGAACCAGCATGATCGGACCATGGGAACGGGGGTTTATGAGGTAAAAATTGGGTTTTCCCAATTTTGACCTTCCAAAACTAAAACATTTCTTATTTCTCTTAAATCCATTTTAAAGAGCATAAGAAAAAAAAATAATTTAGTATATTGAAGTGTTTTTGTACGGTTATTGGCTATGGAGACTATTCAAAAAATTGTAAATTTATATTCCCTTGTTATTCTTATAGAGAATAAGTTAACCGTAGTAGTTTGCCTATTTATGGATGTATTTTAATCAAACTTTGTAAATTTATTTATTTTATACAAAGCTATTAGGTCTAATATTTTGCTAAAACAAACTTATTACCCTCCCTGTAGCAGCATACCTAACTACTTGTTACATCTAATGTTATTTGAATAGATTTAATTGAAAATCCTATCAACTATCAGGTAAATTGAAATTTGCGTAGTCGGCAGGTTTGCTGCGACAGTGGTATCTTTCTCTACTTTCACCACTATTTCACCTTGCTGATTCAGATTTGTTAACAAGACGAAATAAAGGGCAAATGAAGACAGATGGTTCTGCAGATGGCTAGGTGTTTTTAATTTTTAGCGAATTTCCCATATAGGGAATAAGCTATTACCGTAGTACTCATGGTAAGACCTGGACCCGGGACCGATTTTTTTTCGTTTTGAGGTCCCTAGAGGCCAAAAACACCATCCGTTAAAATTCATATATATATATATGTGTGTGTGTGTCCATTAGCGCGATAACTCGAGCAAAAATGATCCGATTTTGATTAAATTTGGTACAAACGTGTAAACCTACGTTTATTCGAACGAGTTCGCGAACCAGCATGATCGGACCATGGGAACGGTGGTTTATGGGGGCTTTTATGGGGTAAAAATGGGTTTTTCCAATTTTTGACCCAAAAAACATAAAATTTTGTAATTTATTTCCAAACTATTTTGTAGAGCTTAAAAAAAACAAATAATTTAGTATATTGAAGCGTTATGATGCGCCTAATGGTTACGGAGAAATTGTTAATTTAAAATCCCCATGTTATTCTTATGGAGAATAAGTAAACTGTTGTAGTTTGCTTGTTTATTAACATATTTTGCCCAAATTTGGAAAATGTTTTAATTTCTTACTAACTATTAACATTTTACATAAAAAAACACTTTTACCCTCCTTGTTGCAGCAAACCTAAGTATGTGTTAAACTGATTCTATTTAAATAGGGAATGAATGTGATATTTTTAAGGAGACATTTTAGTGTAAATCCAATCAGGCAAATGGAAATTCGCTTAGTCTGCAGGTTTGCTGCGGCGGGGGTATTTTTTATATAATTATTTAACTCCCTCCACCCGTTACTCAATTTTTTCTAAGCTCTTTTATTCTATCTAATCACATAACGTGATTTAGTGTATATTTTCTTTCACAACTTTTCTGAATACTATGACAAGACTATCCGTCCCACAGACAAGAATTGCTGTGGATATTTTAATGAACACATCTTTGGTCTCAGATTTGAGCTAGATCACAAACCAACTGGATCCAGAGTTACTTGAATAAATGAGCTTGTTGGGCCGTGGCCGATGGGTGCAAGAGGTTTCAGATTTGTTGTTGGTGTAAGGAAGATGAAAATTATTCCACAAGGTGATGGAGAGGAGTACAATTATCTCTCAAACCTGGGGGTCTGACTGGAGCACGGTGGAAACCTTAATTTATTAACAACCATCGTATGGATACACATTCTTTTTACAAATTTTCCTTCTCTTGTCTGGTGTAGAAAAGGGTTCTTTTGAATATGCACTAGAGGGCAGGGGTTGAAAGCTCGACTAAAACTACATAATGTGGACACAGACTTCTCTATTATGATTTTCACCCCACGCTGTAGGCTAAATAAAACAAGTTACTGGAATTTCTTAAATTTTCTCAATTTTCTGTTTATATTTCGTTGTTATTTCGTCAACAGCATGACAACCCAAAAGGCCCATGTTATTTTTTTTTCAATTAGTATTTTTTATTTAATTTTTTTATTATGTGTGCTTATTTTTGAGCTAAGTATAATTTCTAAAAGGATTCTGCACATTAACAGGCAAATTTCTTTCTAAAAGTATACTTATAGTGTTTCCATGTGACTCAATGAGCTGAGAAAAAAGGCTTTCAAGAAACATGAGTTTTCTAACTCTTCATGCTCATAAAAATTGAGATATTCAGTTGTTTATACGTTTTTTGACTAAAGTATTATTGTGTTGCAGTTCGTGTGAAGACCTGATGTCCAACCTGGTGTTGAGATTGTGTGTCTGGCTACTGGCAGGAGTGGCTACCGTAGGCAACATCCTGGTGATCGTCTGGCGCACTAGATACACCCATTGCAACCAGGTGAGCACACTTAGTATATCAAGCTGTCTAGAACAAGTATCAAACCCAGAAGTATAGATAGAACTACATTCATATTCATTTGAGATGGGGACGCCACCTAGTATATTTTAAACCCAAATAGGAGTTTAGGATGAGTGTAGAATTAAGTGTGATGCCTTGTACAGCTCGGTGGTACAGCTTTGTTACTGACTTAGACCAGCTGTTTCATTAGTCAGGACCATTTATTGAAAGCCCAATGATCAAGGACAGCTGGGCCCAGTTTAGAACCATCAAAAAGCAACATACTGTTATCAGGATCGAACCGGCGACCTTTCAATTACCAGGCGAGCACTATAACTGAGCTACTTAGCTATTCTATTCATAAGTTAGAGTTGTAGCCAGTTAGACAAATAAACGGTAAGGATAATCTGACAATCTCACACATACTTTCTCCCATTAGCTTTCCAACCTCCCTTGTGGGAGTAACTATATAGCATTTTATAGTGCAAATCACAAAATTTGCAGTAACTTTTTAACCATAACTTTCACATCGATGAGAGTTGTACCACTTTCCACCATTTTTGTTTTTGTTTGTTTTATTCCATGCATGTTTCAGGTTCACTCCCTGTTCATCACCAACCTCACACTAGTGATCTCTTGATTGGCTCTTATGTGCTGCTGATAGATATAGTAGACTGTCACTACATGAGGAGTCTACTTTGTCCATGATTCTGACTGGAGATCAAGCAGATGTTATAGTAACTCCATGTTTCAGGTTCATTCCCTGCTCATCACCAACCTCGCACTAGGTGATCTCTTGATGGGCTCCTATCTGCTGCTCATAGCTCTAGTAGACCGTCACTACAGAGGAGTCTACTTTATCCATGACTCTGCCTGGAGATCTAGCCGACTCTGTGCTTTGGCTGGGTTCCTCAGCACTTTTTCCAGCGAGATATCCGTCTTTACACTTACTGGTTAGAAAATTAGTGCATCTTTGATTAGTCAATGGATTTACTTTTACTTTTTTCCCTAAAGTAAATACCAAATTACTTAAAAATTCTTTTATTTTTTAATATGTTCTATCTTTATGAAAAGTTTGTATTTTAGGGTAAAAGAGCAATGTGATTTAACCCATGTAAATGTGCAAAATGTCATTGTTGTTGAAAATATTGAATTTTATGACTATAATTTCATTCTAACTATCATAAGCGTTCCTGGACATATCTTTATGAAGGAACTAACCGTTATTCTTTAAATTCCAAAACTACCTTAAGTTATTTTGAAATTCATTTAAAAAATAACCTTGTAGTGGTTAGCTACAACTTGAGATTATTTGGTTAATTAATTAGGAGTACGACATTATCAATTAATGGTGGAAATGAGCGTCGAACCCTTAAATTTAACCACTTAACATTAATTTAAGTAATATTGCTATTGCTATACTGACACTATAAATTAAATTGGGTGTTCTTATATTAATTTAATCTGGAAAGAATGACTATTGAAATTCATACTACCTAATTTAAAATTTAACCACCGGTATGGTTAATTAACATGGGGCTTTACCCTCCATATCCCGAGTGTATACCTATCCAGGTTTCCTGTAGCTTTGTACCGCACCGACTACTGACTGATCGACTCCGACTTCCTTATTTGACTCACCTGATGCGCATGCTCGAGCACATTATCTTTTCTTGGATTGTACAATGGCTTCACTTAAGAGACTATATTTACCTTGTTGGCGGGATATTCAAATATATGTGGAGATTGAACTCCACAACCTTGGTCGTTATTTTTATTTGGCACCGGTATTTCCTCAAAAAAAAAAAAAAAAAAAAAAAAAAACGATATGTCTAACCAATTTGAAAGGATCAAGCCCTCCTCACTCCACCCTTGACCCCTTTTGGTTGATTTTTCTGCTTAAACAAACTATTACTTTACTTAAAGTTTTGGGGTTTTTTATAATCTACAAAACATTTACCTAATCTTCTTTTTTAGTTTTTTTTTCAAGACTAAACTGCAATTAATACTGTATACTAATAACTAAAGTTAATTGCAACATTTTTAGATTTTTAAGTAACTACACCTATTTTTAGCTCTAGCTATCCAGTATTTGGATATTACAAATTTTTTTTGGTTTGCACATAGTTTAGCAAAAAGTTGTAAGGAATTCTCATCTTTGTTGGAAAAAATTAAAACCCATTAACAATACTACTATTGTTAACAACTTTTTTCTTAAAAAAAAGAAGCTGAATCATGTGACTACATGTTGCAGTGATCACACTTGACCGTTTCCTTGTGATAATCTTCCCGTTCAGAGTTCGTCGCCTGGAGATGGCTCGCACTCGTCGCCTCATGGTGTTCGGATGGGCTCTTGCAGGCTTGCTTTCTGCTCTGCCTCTTGCTCATCTAGAGTACTTCCAGTGAGTTTGTGTTGCCTTAAGAACTAAAATAGAGATTTCTTATATTGGCATTTACAGAGGTTCAAGAAATCCCCCCCCCCCCCCCCATAGAATCACTAACAGTAAAACTAGTATCAATGGTTAGTGCTTCAACTCCCATCGTTAGTGCTCTTATGGTTCTGGAACTTTAACGAAAAAACTTTGGGTAGTAATATGTGAGCAATAACCGTTGGATGTTGCTAGATAACTGGGGGAGGCTAACATGCACAGTTTTTCGTTATAGCTATTGAACCGTAAGAGCACTAACGTAGGGCGTTAAAGCACAAACTAGCAATAACCATTGATACTATTTTTATCATTAGTGCTTCCATGGGTGTGGGCCAACCTCACGGACCACATTTCAGTTACAGATTTTGCAAGAATAAAATTTGTTTAGGTCGTCAATGAACATAGACTTCTACTACAGTTTCACAACGAACAGGGCCTTGTAATTTCTGGATTAAACTTTGTAGTCTGGGAGATGTAAGATCACCAGATGCAACAAGGTGTTGTGTGGGTGTTTCCATTAACCAGACAACACGGCATTATAGTAAAGTATCCTTTTGCCTTTGGTCTAGCTAAGTATGCCAATTTCTGAATGAGGTTCCATATCAGGTTGCATTATAGAGTGTCCTGATGTACTAGGGTTAACTATAGTAGCCTATATTTCCTTGTGTTAAACTTCAAAAAGACGTGTTAAAAAACAATTGGCCCTATGATCAGTGCTGGATCAGGGCTAGAATAGATAGTGTACATCACACTGAGCTAGAAATACAACTTTATAGCATTGAAATGGCAACTAGAAAATCGAGACACTGTAAAATTTTGTTATGTTGGTATAAACTAGGGAAGTCAGCTCATTGGCTCATGGCTTAATGTATATACAATCCCATAATCCCCTGTTCCCCTAGTTCACATGTACTTAGGACAATAATTGACTTATAATAATCAATTATAATAATTATTGTAATAATGGCTAACATCTAGCAATTAAATCTCATTCAGTGCCACCTCCAGCCGTATCTGTAGCTCAGTAGTGTAAATGGTCCAATGGAAATCATAACAGCTGTTTGTAGTGCACTTTTATCCTGAAAAGACGACATAGATGAATAAAATAAGGAAGAGTTATTAGTTTCTGTAGCTAATACAAAGGACCCCAGGCTTCCGTACAGGGAATGTGTGATATTTATGAGAGAAATAACTGATAATATTTTTATTTAAAAAACATTTTCAAGAAGATACGAAGCTTACCAACCACCTATAATTTTTCACATTTACAGCAACTTCTACGGCAGATCAGGAGTGTGCCTTGCCCTTCACATAACACCAGACAAGCCCAACGGATGGGAATACTCCGTATTTGTCTTCCTCTGTGAGTGTACTTGTATTACACCTTTCACATTGGTTACCAAAGAAGACATCTTAGCTATATGAAGCATTATAGAGCAAGTTATTACTCAATGATAACAATTGAATGGAGCCAGTCAAAAGACTGTGCTACAATTAAAATTATATTTTCACTTCCATATTTTATACTGTGTGATAGTCGTTGAGGACGGGCGAAATAATTGATACTATTGTTTACATTGAGTTTCCTTTCAGCTTGACAAGAATAACTGTATTTTCAGCAGCGCCCCGTCAGTGATTTATTATCTAAGCTTTTTAACTCTAAAACTATCAACAACTTAAAAATAGGAGAGGAATGTATTTTTCAAGGTGGTTTTTATATATCCATTTAATATTTATGTATGCTAAATCTATGTCTGTGATAACACACTGCGTGAAATTTACAGTATCTTTAAAACTAACAAAACATAGGATTGTCAAAGCCATGCCCAAATGAGAGTGTTTTATTCATCCATAGAGATCATAAAGAGCAACTGCATTATCTTCCATTATCTGATTAACAGTCTTGAACATGGTATCTTTCGGCATCATCGCACTAGGCTACCTGTGGATGTTTGTGGCGGCGCGTACCACACAACTGGCAGTGAGCGGTGCCTCCCGTCGGACCACAGAGAGCGCTATGGCGTGGCGCATGACTTTGCTAGTAGCCACCGACGCAGCGTGCTGGGTGCCCATCATAGTGCTTGGGCTTGCGTCTCTGGCCGGGTTCACCGTTCCTCCTCAGGTAGAATTTGTCGTTAACTGTTTCATTTTATGTCATTATTCATTTTAATTTGAGCATTCAATTTCAATAAATCAATCATTTAAACAAGTAAATAAAACCTATCCAATAGTCAATGATAAAACTAAATCAACATCAATAGGTAACTTTAGTGCAAAAATGAATTAACTGAAAGCAGTCCTCAACCTAGTAAACGTCTGAATACATGCTGTATATCAGAAATCAGAAATAAGAAAATCTATATAGCGTCATTCCTCAACTATTCTGTTTGTTAGGTGTTTGCGTGGGTTTCTGTGTTTGTCTTGCCACTGAATGCAGCCCACAACCCATAATATGCTGTCTACAGCACCATTTAACCTATTCTATTTTTACCTATTCTGTTTGTTAGGTGTTTGCGTGGGTTGCTGTGTTTGTCTTGCCATTGAACGCAGCCCTCAACCCAGTACTGTACACTCTGTCTACTGCGCCATTTCTCACCCCCGCACTGCTCAAGTTCCGACGATCCTGCAAACTTAACAACTACTCGCCCAACTGTACACTAACTCGTAAATATGGTACAGACTGTTAGTTGATATTATAGCTGGAATTTATTTTACTAAATAGACCTACGGTTTTAATTAGACCTAATAATAAGAGGAATGGTAGTTCTAAATTCAATTATTTAATGTTAAGAAACATTTGCCTAAGACTTAGACATAAGGTTCAATCTTAATTATGGAGCGTAGCTGCTAGTTTAAATGTTTGATGGTAGGAATTCTAGTAATTCTGTGCATTGAACCAGTTTTTATGTCTGAGATTTAAATTTGACTTGGTGACTTCGAGCATAACAACCCACCGGTCCACCTACTATTTCTGTATAGTTCTATGGATTTTTTTTAAATTCAGATAAATAAACAGAGAGTAGGCTTGCTAACCCCATACCTTAAATTTAAAGCCAGTTTGTTACAATTTATTATACAAAGTTGTATTGCTTCAATAGCTCCTTGTTCCAACAAAAAACTGTTTCAGCAGTAAGAATTGCTATCAACTTGAAATTTCCTAAATTAATTATTATGAAATTTCCTTTGATTAGCATGAATTGAACAGCCGTATGTAAACTGTATATATACTATACTAAGTAAAATTTATTTTGTTTTTAGGAAGTGCAAGATCTTCAGAGTTCAGCAACAACTCTGTTACTAAAAGAACGTCAATAAGGTATGAACCCAAAACCTTATTTCAATGTTTTACATTTTAAATCACCAAAATTTTCTATGTAGACAAAATATTTTCTTCTGCCTCTTAGCCGGTCGTCCCCCTGAGGAGGTAGCGTATAACTAAAGATTTGTTTTTTTCAATTGTGTTTATGCCCAGTAGTTTGTTCTAAGTTGTGTGGCTCTATCTTTATTATTTTTTGTTAATATTTAACCGACCTGGAACTCTTTTCCACCCTGTATAAGTGCTTCTTGTGAATTATTATATGCTCATAGTTATTCTTCAAAAACAATAACTGCTAAAATCGTTCACAGAAACATTGAAAAATTGTTGTCAACTATGTTTTGTTCTATCAAGGTGGCACTCCCGGGTGGACACAGCTGTCTCGGAGCATGGTGAGGTGGTACCACTGAGCCGTCTGGTCACATGACACTCGCCTTCTGGGCGCTCCTCTCGCCACCGCAATCCTCTCTACGACTGACCAATTGTGCTCTCAGAACCAATTCATCTTGAGGAGTTGTTCAGTTTCTTAATCCACAGTGTTTGTGGCTTGTGTGTTTTTCAGTAGTTGAAGAGAGACATTTTATGAGAGTAGTCTTTAACTAAGGTAGTTTGTATATAAATCACAAAGTTGTCTTGTATATTTTTACAAACTAGTGAACCTGTGCGGCTCAATGCCCCGCAAAAACATATGAATTTAGAAAACAAATTCATCGTGTTATATATTGACTCGTCGAAAATTAAATACAGTAATAATAAAGCATTAGAAGGGAGGCAATCCAGCTATTTTCTAGCTGTGTGCGTATTATATTTAGTAAATTAATAAGTATTCAAGTTCAAGTATGTTACAGGGTAGTTATTTTTTTTTAATTTTTAAAAACACATTTAACAAAACATTTTATCATATCAAACCAATAGGAAGTGAATGTAGCATATACCTATGTAGCATATTTTGAGGGTCATAAAATTATGCTTGATGAAAACACTTTTAAAAATAAACACTAAAAACAATATTTTTTTCACAAACGCACTTCCATAAATACTACGATTTTAGTCATAAAGTTACCTTCAGGAATATTACCCTGGTCAGAATTTTCCGTAATGAATATGCTTATCCTACTATTAAAAGATGTATCCTTACTTAAAACAACATATACAGTATATAGTTGCTCATGACTGAAATTGGTCTGGCTAAGAACATTGCTGCTCTTTAATTAAAGTGCTTGTGCTGCAAATGCCAAAGATAACAGAAATTAGCATCTTTCCATTTTAAAAGGTAACTTTGTTTCAAATTTTTTATCCTCGAAATCAAAATATGTCCTTACTGACTTGTTCCATGTTAAGACTTTACATTCTACTTTACATTGTTGTTAACCGTTCTGATCACATGAAGCCTCTTGCCATTAATGAGGCCCTTTTTGATGTATTAATATCAATAAAACCACTGCCTCCTTTTATTAGTATAATCTGTGTCTTGGCAATCCACTGACCTCTATATTTAAAAACTCAGTTGTATTTTCTAGATGGGTGCCTCTGCCTTCGACTGTTTTCGAGGACCCACTCTTCCCCTTGGCATACTGACAATTAATTACCTAACTTGTAAAGTTCATGTAGTAGTTAATTAGGCTGCACTTTACTTGACGTCCTACACTCATTCGATTGGTTTTTTCGATTCGATATTTTCATTCGATTCTTTCATTCGATATATCGTTTGGTTAGTTAGGTTAGGTTAACCTTACCTAACTAACCAAACGATATATCGAATGAAGCAATCGATTAATCGATATATCGATCGATATTTAGATTCGAATGAGTGTAGGACGTCAAGTAAAGTGCAGCCGTTAATTAATACTGTTAGTTTATAAAGAAAATTAGATAAAAGGTACTTGGCTTGGTGCTTTCATAACTGCAAACTCAAAATACACCCACAAGTAAAAAAGAATCAAGTTATTGGTTAAAAAAAACTATGTTTGTGTAAAAACATTATTCACATGAAGTAGATGATTTGTTTGATTTCTCGATCAGCTGTTTCGTTTGAATTAATAATGTCAAAGATTTGTGATTTTAAATAAATCAATTATTATAGTAAAGTTTTCTAAATATGGTAACTTATTCTCAACAAAATTTTACTATTCCCAGCATGAAAATAAAGTAGTGAGATCCATTATGAGTAAAGTTTAAGGCACACAATCCTTGATTGAAATGTAGTATACATTAACAGTCATAATACACAGCAATTATTATGTAGTAGTCTTTGACTATTTTCAAGTAACAAACATATGTTTCTGTAAATAAAAATTATCTCCCTTGTTATCCTTATGGAGAAATACGAAACTTTAAAGGGCCCCAGGGCCTCACTCTCTAATTATTTCCTTAAAAATAAGGTTTCCTGCACAACTTCACGTTACACTCTTTCCAATGACACCAAAAACATGTCAATCGGTTCAGTAGTTTCGGAGGAGTAATTGTCACAAAAATCGTGCTTGCGTATTAAATAAGTATATAGTAGTCTTTGACTATTTTCAAGTAACAAACATATGTTTCTGTAAATAAAAATTATCTCCCTTGTTATCCTTATGGAGAAATACGAAACTTTAAAGGGCCCCAGGGCCTCACTCTCTAATTATTTCCTTAAAAATAAGGTTTCCTGCACAACTTCACGTTACACTCTTTCCAATGACACCAAAAACATGTCAATCGGTTCAGTAGTTTCGGAGGAGTAATTGTCACAAAAATCGTGCTTGCGTATTAAATAAGTACTAGAGGTCGTCCAGTGGTCGAAACTCGACCAAAAATATATAATGTACAGACTTCTCTATTTTCTCCCCACACTGTAAATAAAACATGTGATTTGAGTTTCTTCCATTTGTTTTGATTTTCTGTTTATATTCCGTTGTTATTTCGTAACCAGCATAGCAACCCATAAAATCCATGTTAATTTTTTCAAAATTTTAAACTAATTTTTTGTGCTTATCTTTGAGCCTATTTTAATTTATAAAGGGATTCTGCACACCTACAGGAAAATATCTTTCTAACGGTATGCGTAGATTTTCCCTACGATTCACACGAGCTGAGAAAAAAGGTTTTAAAGAAACATGCTTGCCTATTAATATATAGATAGATAGATGCTAACAGCAGAGTTTTTCTTTAAAACAATATTATGGGCACCGGTGTGTTTCTCAAGAGACATCATCATGAAAAAAGTGGTATTACCAATGACTATTAGATAGGTACTGAAGTAGACATCCCATCTCTTGACCAGCTGTTGCAAATTTTCAATCAAGATAGAACATAGTTGTATGCCGAAGTTAATGGGTAATTACAGTGGCTATAGCTCACAATAAGTCATTCCATTACTTTGCCTTGGGAAAAAGGCTTGTGTATTCGACAGAAATCAGTAATTTAGATCAGCATTGACGTATAGGATGTACAGAAAACTAATTTAAAACAACCCTATGACAGTGTGAATAAAGTAAACTTTCATAATTTAATTAAATAGTTATACATTCCATCCCCATGTTAAAGTTGTTGCCAGGTTTTTAATCAAATTTGTCTTAGTTGATGTTAGCCACAAACAGATTGTGCTGATCTATAGCCCAGTCAACGAAGCTCAAAATATGTCCCTCAGCGGGAAAAAATGGTGTAGTCCCGGATTTTTGCACAGTTGTAGGGGATACCCTCCTGAACAACATACTAAAAGTCCTGACTGATGGGGTGTGAGCTATGGGGGGGAGGGGGGTCACCCTTCTAATCACCATTCTGGTCTTAAATTGTGGGCAATTTAATGTAGTTTTAAAGTAATTATGGTTGTTTTAATAAAAAATAATGAGAAAGTTATGCTTAAGGGTTAATGTTAGCCAAACTTAAAAAAGTTCAAAATTTGGTAATTTTATTTATTATTTGCTGTGCCATATCTTGAAAACTATTAGGCCTGTATTAACCATTTTGGTCTTAAATGATAGGTAATCTAATGTACTTTAAAAATGATTATGGTAGTTTTCTATGAAAAAGTGATGCTTCAGGGTCAAAATCGGACAAACGTAAAAATAGTGCAAAATTCCGCCAATTTTTAAGGTTTTTGGAGGTGATCCGGGAGGTTGCCGAGGTCGAAAATTTGGATTTAGCATCTCGGTACTATTACAAACAACGTAAGAAACCTACAACCCCATTTCATGCAAGGTAAAATGTGTTAGGTTACTGGGTTAAAAGACAAGTGTAATAACATTTTCTGCAAGTTTATTTTAGTTTTAATATTACAGTATGTTATTATGGTTACCACTGTTTGGTCTCTCGGTTTCCAGTCCGGCCCGACTTCCTCTCCCCTCAATTTTTTCAACAGCTGTACTGCATAGACGAGTATTTAGCACATTTTTATCAGTTTATATAACTTGATGTAGTATAAAACAATCACTTTACCACAATAATACTAGTTGCTCTGAATGTTTTTTTCTTATGACACATGTATCTCGTTAAGTGTTGATTTTAGGAACACGATGTAAGGAGCATTATTGTTGGAAATTTAATGCTCTTCATTTTTGTATAAGTACATTTTACCGCTAGAGGGCACTGTTTTCGAGATATTTACAGAAAACCGAAAAATTGTGCATTTATACCCCCCTCCCCCCCATAGCTCACACCCCATCAGTCAGGACTTTTAGTATGTTGTTCAGAAGGGTATCCCCTACAACTGTGCAAAAATCCGGGACTACACCATTTTTTCCCACTCATTCAGCTTCGTTGACTGGACTACTAAATGACTGATTTCTGTTGAATACACAATGGTTTTTACAAAGTAAAACTGATGGAACGACTTTTTATGAGCTATAGGAACTGTTGTGACCCAGCAACTATATCAGTAACAAAAAATAAGGTACAAAATAGTTTTAGACACTAGCGCAATCTGTGACTGGCTCACACAACTACATTCATTTTTAGTAAAATATTGGCGACAGCTGATCCATTTAGATGAGACGTCTTAATGATAGTACTGTTAGGGAAATGGTTTCATAATATTGTATATTATGTTAAAGAAATGTATGGCCAGATGAATTTTATTTGTGTTTCAAGTAGATTTTCGACAATAATTTATGTTCATTTTAATTTGGGTATTAGGTTAGTTTATATTATTTTCAAAATATAATTTCCGTAAGTAGATAATAATCTATTTGTAAACTTTGTCTGATACCGGTACCCAATTTACGGGTTTATCATAATAATTATGGCCCTAGTTAATAGTTAAGCTTGCATTGTAAACATCAGCGTAAACGTTTATCTTATTTCAAAATTTTGTTCACGAAATCAAGTACCGGTAGTTGAAACTTACTTTACTTTGTAAATAGTAATTAATTGTCCTAAACAATTTTATATTTCACTACAAAATGTACTAAAACACATATTTGACGGTTAAAATTTGTTTATTTTAGTGGAAACACAATGACTATATAAATGAGTACACATTAATTTGGTGTAGGAACATAAACAAGTTTTTTTACTCAATTAGTTAATTGTTTGGTTTTTTTTGTTGAACAATTTTTTTCAAAATAATTAGTATTTATAGGATTAATTCAAGTACAAGAAGTAAATGAAATTACTTAAAATAATTCTTGTAAATAGGTTGAGTGTGCTGTAATTTATCTTATAAATTTGACTGTGGTCTATATTTTTTATCTGAATAAAATATCATTTTCTGGTATTTGTGTGAGTATTTTAAAAATTCATTTTACCTTTGCCCTACCATTTTCATATTACTGTATAATTTTTTATCATGCATTTTATCATTTTCAATATCATTAGGTATATGGAGCCAATGACACAAATGTTCAATGTTTGAGCCTACATGAGTAAAAGAAAAGTAAGTATGAAGTTGTTTGCTTTAAGCGAATTTTTCCTATAGGGAAGATCATCTAATAGCTTCGAAGCTATTAATGTAAGAAGGTAAGGTGGGACCTAAGCCCGGGACGACTTACTTTTAATTTTGATGTCTTCAAAAGCCAAAAACACTATTCGTCAAAATTCATATATATATTTAAAATAAATATAACGATTTGGTACTTTAGTATAATGTGGAGGCCACCCTTATACAGTGCTTATGTACAGCTATGGTAAGTTAGGTTATCATGAATATGTTTGTAGGGCTTTCCTGGTTTCGTTATGAATCGAACTATACCAGTACCAAACAAGAAGTGTAGGACATATATGTTCATTGATATAATAATTATAATTACATATAATTGAAATAATGTATGACTCTTCATATAGTCCTTAGTTTTCAAGGATTTTCCACATAAACTGCACTAATGGTGTGAACTAATGTATGACTCTTCATACCTTCCTTAGTTTTGAATGATGCACATTTAGTGCACTTTTAAGGTTGCTCTTCGGTGTGAATTAATGTATATTTCCTTCCTGTGTGAACTAATGTATGACTCTTGATATGTAGCCTACATTAATTTTGATGTTGTCCATATATAGTTCACTTATGAGGTCGCTCTTCTTTGTGAACTGCATGTTTTTTTTTTCATACAGTCCTTATTTTTCAAGGATTTTCCACATATAGTACTCTTATGTCGCTTTCTGGTGTGAAAAAATTTATGACCTTTCATAATTTCCATAGTTTTTAACAATTATCCACTTATAGTAGGCCTACACTTATGAGGTCGCTCTTCTGTGTGAACTAATGTAGGACTCGTCATATGTTTATTAATTTTGAAGGATGTTCCATAAGTAGTACAATTGTGAGCTCGCTCTTTGTGTGAATTAATGTACATACTAGTGTACATATTGCCCTTATATTTTGCTTCATATTGAGTTCTTAAGGATATTCCACATATAATACATTTTGAGGTCGCTCTCCGGTGTGTACTAATTTATGCCTGTTTACATGGCCACTTGTTTGGAATTATTTTCCACATACAGTACACTAATGAGGTCGCTCTTCAGTGTGAACTAATGTATGTCTCTTCATACTTCCCTTATATTTGAATGATGCTCCACATACAGTACACTTATGAAGTCGCTCTTCTGTGTGAAATAATGAATGTTGCCACAAATGGGCCTTAGTTTTGAAGGATTTTCCACAAGTCATGCACTTATAATGTCACTCTCCAGTGTGATCTAATGTATGACTCTTCATACGTTTCTTAGTTTTGAAGGATTCTCCACATATAGTGCAATTATGAGGTCGTTCTTCTGTGTGAACTAATAGATGTTGCTTCATATCTGCCTTAGTTTTGAAGGATTTTCCACATATAGTGCACTTATGAGGTCGCTCATCTTTGTGAACAAATACATGTTGCTTCATACCTCCCTTGGATTTGAATGATGTTCCACATATAGTGCACGTATAAGCTCGCTCTTCTATGTGAACTAATGTATGTTGCTTCATACCTCCCTTGGATTTGAATGATTTTCCACATATAGTGCACGTATAAGCTCGCTCTTCTATGTGAACTAATGTATGTTTTCTCATACCGTCTATAGTTTTGAAGGATTTTCCACATGTATTGCACTTATGATGTCGTTCTCTGGTGTGAACAAATGTATGACTCTTCATAATTTCCATACTTTTGAAGGATTTTCCACATGTAGTACACTTATGAGGTCGCTCTTCTGTGTGAACTAATGTATGTTGCTTCATGTTAGTAATGGTTTTGAAGGATTTTCCACATATAGTGCACTTTAAGGTCGCTCTTCTGTGTGAACTAATGTATGACTCATCACATGATCCTTAGTTTTGAATGATTTTCCACATATATTGCACTTATGAGGTCGCTCTTTTGTGTGAACATATGCATGACTCATCACATGTCTCTTAGTTTTGAAGGATTTTCCACATATATTGCACTTATGAGGTCGCTCTTCTGTGTGAACTAATGTATGACTCTTCATATAGTCCTTAGTTTTGAAGGATTTTCCACATATAGTGCACTTATGAGGTCGCTCTTCTGTATGAACTAATGTATGTTTTCTCAAATAGTCCTTACTTATGAAGGATTTTCCACATATAGAGCAAGTATAAAGACACTTCATTTCATTTTCAATATCATATCAGGTATATGGAGCCAATGACACAAATGTTCAATGTTTGAGCCTATATGAGTGAAAGAAAAGTAAGTATGAAGTCGTTTGCTTTAAGCAAAATTTTCCTATAGGGAAGATCATGTAATAGCTTCGAAGCTATTGATATAAGATGGTAAGGTGGGACCTAGACCCGGGACGACTTACTTTTCATTTTGATGTCTTCAAAAGCCAAAAACACTATTCGTTAAAATTCATATATATTTATAATAAATATAACAATTTGGTACTTTAGTATAATGCGGAGGCCACCCTTATACAGCGCTTATGTATGGCTATGTTAGGTTAGGTTATCATGAATATGTTTGTAGGACTTTCCTGGTTTCGAACTATACCAGTATCAGACAAGGAGTGTAGGACATATGTGTTCGTTGATATAATAATTATTATAACATATAATTGAAATAATTTATGTCTCTTCATATAGTCCTTAGTTTTATAGTGCACTTATGAGGTCGCTCTTAGGTGTGAACTGATGTATGACTCTTAATACCTTCCTTAGTTTTGAATGATGTTCCACATATAGTGGCCTTGTAAGGTCGCTCTTCTTTGTGGCTAATGTATGTTTCATCATATTGTCCATAGTTTTAAAGATTTTCCACATGTAGTGCAGTTATAATGTCGCTCTCCAGTGTGAACGAATGTATGACTCTTCATAATTACCTTTCTTTAGAAGGACTTTCCACATATAGTACACTTATGAGCACATACAGTGCTCTTATGATGTTGCATTCTGGTGTGAACAAATTTATGACCTTTCTCAATTTCCTTAGTTTTGGACGATGAAGTGACTTATGAAGTCGCTCTTCTGTGTGATATATTATATGTTTGCTTTATATTTGCCTTAGTTTTGAAGGATTTTCCACTTGTCGAGCACTTATAATGTCGCTCTCCAGTGTGAACGAGTGTATGATTCTTCATAATTTCCTTTCTTTTGAAGGACTTTCCACATATAGTTCACTTATGAGGTCGCTCTTCTGTGATACCTAATACATGGTGCTTCATATTGTTTACGGTTTTGAATGATTTTCCACATATAGTGCACTTATGATGTCGCTTTCTGGTGTGAACAAATTTATGACCTTTCATAATTTCCTTAGTTTTGAACGAAGTTCCACATATAGTACACTCATGAGGACGCTCTTCTGTGTGAACTAATGTATGACTCTTCATATTGTTCTTAATTTTGAAGGATGTTCCCCATGCATTGCGCTTGTGAACTTGCTCTTTGTGTAAACTAATGTATGTTGCATCATATTGCCCTTAGTTATTAAGGATATTCCACATATAGTACATTATGAGGTCTCTCTCCGGTGTGTACTTATTTATACTGGTTAAAATAGCCATTAGTATTTTCCACATAAAGTACATTAATGAGGTCGCTCTTATGTGTGAAATAATGTATGTCTCTTCACATAGTCCTTAGTTTTGAAGGATTTTCCACATATAGCGCACTTATGAGGTCGCTCTTCTGTATGAACTAATGTATGACTTATCATATAATTCTTAGTTTTGAAGGATTTTCCACATGTAGTGCATTTGTGAGGTCGCTCTTGTTTATGAATTAATATATTATGTTTTCTCATACTGTCCTTAGTTTTAAAGAATTTTCCACATGTAGTACACTTATAAAGTCGCTCATCTGTGTGAACTAATGTATGACTCATCATAACTTTTTTAGTTTTGAAGGATTTTCCACATAAAGTGCACTTGTGAGGTCGCTCTATGGTGTGAACTAACGTATGACTCTTCATACCTTCTTTAGTTTTGAAGGATTTTCCACATGTAGTGCACTTGAGAGGTCGCTCTATGGTGTGAACTAACGTATGACTCTTCATAACTTTTTTAGTTTTGAAGAATGTTCCACATATAGGCTAGTACACTTATGAGGTCGCTCTTCTGTGTGAACTAATGTATGACTCATCATATGATTCTTAGTTTTGAAGGATTTTCCACATATAGTGCACTTATGAGGTCGCACTTCTGTGTGAAACAATGTATGAATGTGCATACTGCCCCTGGTTTTAAAAGATTTTCCACATATAGTGCACTTATAAGGTCGCTCTCCTGTGTGAACCAAGGTATGAATCTTCATATCATCCTTAGTTTTGAAGGATTTTCCACAAAAAGTGCACTTATAAGGACACTTCCCAGAATGTGTCAATAAATGACGCTTTATATTAGATATTTGAACAAATGTTTTCCGACAAGTCAAACATCTAAATGGACGCTCGCCCGTGTGTAAATATATGTGACACTTCATTGCCAATAGAGTTGGAAAAATTTTTCTACATATTGGGCACTCAGGCAAAGGCTTTTTCGTGATCTTTAACATGTTTTAGTTGTCAATTTCTGACTTTTAACTTTTTAGACATGCTAGAAACTGATTGAAATCATTTGGTTGGCTTTGTACGTTTTTTTTCTGTTTGATTTGTTTAATGTTTGACAGTTATGTACATGTGTCAATCAACTTTAAAACAACTCTTGATCAAATATTGTTATGTGTATTAAATGGCTTACAACATAGCCTACTCGAGACAATTTGATTCTTTTGCATGACTTTTATGTTCCATAATATTTTAAGACTACTTTTTTAAAAGACAACGTTGCTTCTATGTTCCTTTTTTCAAATTATATTGCATCAGCCATATAAAACCATGTAGCCTATTCTTTAAATTTAATTTTGTGTACCGTAGTGGATCACTTACTTTCATTTCTACTTTAAGTGTAGTAAAGACTTAATCGTTTTAGCTGCTGTTTAAGTATTATATCAGATTATGTAAATTATCTTTCTTGCAAAATGAATTAAGGTTCCTTCTCCTCTTCAAATCTATTGCCTCTGCTGAAAAAGACCATATTTTATTAGTTAAATATATTTGTTGTGATCATTTAGGAAATATTTTATTTTACAATGATTACAAAACATTACAAAAATGTATACGTAATGTACTATATCCAGATTATCATAATAATGCATGATATGAATCATAAATGCAATTTAAATTACTCCTCCGAGTGTCCATAGTTTAGGCCTTAATGTCCGCCTATTTTTGGCGCATTTGCAAGGTTTTATTAAAACGGATCTGAGAAGCTTAAAACAATGTTAATTCTACTGTTCTATATACCATTTTGTTTGGAAAATCATGGGCTTCAATATTATACATAAAACATAAGGAACACTTGTTTCAAAGATTTTTTTAGGTAAAAAAAATATTTTGGAAAATTTTCAAAAAAAAATAAGTTCGCGCTCAATGAAATTGTATAAATTATAGGCCTATAAATATTTGAATATTTATAAATTGCCACTTTATTCTAAATTTTATGAGGATTACAAATATATAATAATATAAGGAAGTAGATTTGCAAATAAATAAGTTATGGGCAAAAAACAGATTTCAGTACATAGCGTTTAGCTAAGAATGCATAGCCTAACCATAGCTAGGAATCTGGCTGATAATTTTCATCAATATCACTACCTACTTCTTCAGGATCATCAACCAGCCCTTCAAAATCACTTAAATCTTCTTATAATGCACCACGTATATCACTACTTTTGATTTTTAACACTAAAACAATGATAAACGTAATAAAACACATCAGTCATCGGTCCGAGGTTAACCTATCTGTTTACAAATACGCACGTCAGCTGTCTGCTACAATATTTTCGGGACTAAAATGAATAGCGCTTAGAGACAGACCTCCGGAGAAAGCTCTGAATCTAACAAAAAGAACGATACCTAACTCGATCCAGTTCAATCCGATTCAGTCAGTCATAGAACCTTCGCCGTAAACGATGTTCGTGTGTCGAAAAATCGACAAGTGACGCTCGGAGGGTTAATGTAATCAAAGTAAGTATAGGACCGGGTGTCCATAAAATAATCAAATTCAAAATACTTTTTTTAACTTAAAGATGAATGATTGCTACTACAAATTTCATGGATTGAAAAAGAAACCTTACACATTTGGTTTGGAGAAGTAGTACCATGGCACATCATAAGAGCTCTGATGGCAAATAGACTTATTGCAATTGGCAAATGTCCAGGTGTGAGGCCCATTGGAATAGGAGAATGTCTCAAACGCATTCTGGCCAAATGCATTATTTTAGCTTTTGCCGATGATGCAAAACAAGCATTAGGTACAGATCAACTTTGTGGAGGTCTCAAATCTGGTATAGAGGGAGGAATACATTTCATGCGAACGCAATATAGTGAACACAGTAATACCAACAAAGAATGGTGTATGATTCTGGTAGACGCAGATAACGCCTTTAACAAAATAAACAGAATTCATGCTTTATGGCAAGCAAGAGTCCATTGGCCAAGAGCTGCTAGATTTATTTATAATACTTACCATTGTAGCTCAGATTTAATTTTGCAAGGAAGTAATCAAAGATTGTATAGTAAAGAAGGAGTTACCCAAGGAGATCCACTATCAATGATATTATACGGTCTGGCAACACTTCCATTAATACAAGAATTAAAGAATGCCGAACACATCTCAAGTTTGGTATGCAGATGACATGGATGCTGGCTATCATGCTTGCCTCTGAAGAAACTTAATCTGGACATGTCCCCACAAGAATTTAGAGATGCCCTTGCCCTACGTTATGGGAAAACACAAATAAACCTCCCATTAAAATGTGAAGGATGCGGAAATGAGTTCAATACAGAGCATGCTCTAAAATGTTGAAATGGTGGTCTGAATAAAAAGACACAATGAAGTACGAGACACAATAGGTAACATGATGGAACAAGCCTGGGGAAACTGCATTAAGGAGCCCTTGATAGCAGAAGGCAGTCATCTCAACGAACCTGCACTAAAAGCTGATATAGCTTGTAGAGGCGTATGGGAGACTCAGATGGAGGCATTGTTTGCTGTTAGTGTCGTTGACACTGATGCTCCATCTTATGTCTCCATCCCTCATCAACAAGTTATAAAAAAAGTGGAAGATGAAAAAAAGAAAGTATACTAAAGCTTACGAACAACGACATGCATCATTTACTCCTCTTGTCACAAGTGTTGATGGAATTTTTGGACAGGGCCGGTTTAACCCATACGCGAACTAAGCGGCCGCATATGGCGCCAAGAAAAATTGGCGCTGTGGCGCCAACGGAACAATTTTTTTTTTTAGTGAACAACGTAATTTTGTTTATTTTCGCTCAGAGTTCAAGTATTCAAAGCACCACAATAAAGGCATTTATTCTGTTTGTACCAACAGCATATGAAAAATGCGTATATTTGTACAGCACTACAACTCAAGGACTTAATGCCATTTGTAGTTTCGATTTGTAGTGAGCTGACGCTCGGCAGACGGCAGTCGGCAGCGTACTACAGCGCGGGTGGGTTTCATTTCATGACTCATGTTCTGAACCACATTCTGATGTTCTGAACCAGATTGATACCAACTCTGCAATTAAAGAATTTGCCAAGATCAAAGCTAGGAAAATTAGTTTTTAACTGCTAAGAGCTTTTGAACTGTTCAAATTGATAATTTTGTATTCTTTTTGTCAAAGGTAATAAATTTGGGTTTTCATGTTTTCTTCATGTTTAATGTGTTCAATTAAAAATTCCTCTCTTGTCATCTATCTACACCAGTTTTTCATTGTAATAGGCTTTAACTTATATCGTATCCAAGTTATCCTGTAATTGTTAACTTAGGCCGTGATGCTCGTCAAGCATGACGTCACGATAGAAGACGGCAATGACGTAGGTATTTATTTATTTATTTCCCAAGGAAAGATTAAAACAAGCAGCTGATCACAAACGGCAAACATTACGTCATTGCCGTCTTCTATCGTGACGTCATGCTTGACGAGCATTACGGCCTATTTTTTTAGTGTAGCCTTGGTTTTGCTAAAGTTTATACATAAGTAAAAGTGTAAAAATGTTAAATTCCTGGGAATAATAAACAGTCTTTTATTGCAAGTATTCTTCTAACCTAAACTTATAAAATCTTTGGGAAAAAATTCACAAATAGAGTTAAGCAAAGAAGACGGCAAGTTAATGTTCGGGTTGAGGGTGGGGTGGTGGGGGGGGATTCTAAGTGGCGCTGATTCGGGTGTTCGCTTAACTCTGAAAAATTCATAGGTGTTTTTGGAAATAAGTTCCAAATGTTTTTAAGGCTTATGGCTGAAAAACTATTAGAGAATTGGAAAGACCATACAGTTTGGTAATAAGTTGGACAAGATCATAACAATTTGTGCTGTTTTAAGGGCAACCTGTATGTGTTTGAGGCAAACAAGAAAGAAATGGAGGCCAGCGAGAGTATTTGAAGATGGAGCTGGGATTCCAAATTTTTTTTGTGTAAAAAATAATTGTCAATTTCTGATTTTACAGTTCTCTACTCTTTTTTGTAAAATTTATTTTATAATTTACATTAAATAATAATAAAAAATTATAAAAATTTAACAGTACTTTTAAAAGTAATTAACAATTAATTGTTAAGAGCAAAACAAATAAAGCACATTATACTTGTTAACCTTTAAACTAAAGTGAAAGGTTGCAGCTTCATCACTAAATACCAGATAAGTAGCAAAATGTTCATCTTCTAAGCAGTTTTGAATTCAGGTGAGCAGCTCAACACTAAGGACCATGTGGCAAGGGACAGTGTGTTTGAATAAAAATGTGGTTTTCTAGCTTCCAACTTGTATTTACTTTTTATTTATTTATATAACATCATCACATTACATCAATTCCATCAATTCTCTTGACAAGTGATTTGTCACAAAGTCTAATACTACATTTTAAAATCTTAAAATAGCTTAGAAAAGAAATAAAACAAATCATTAGGCTAAAAACCTATGGTAGAAGTAATATCTTTCAAATATACGCATCTTCTAGTGAGTAAAACGTCCTCTCAAAAAGAAATATGTTTTAAGATCATTTAAATTTAGAGAATGAGGCAATGTTTTAAATCTCAGCAACCCATTGCGATTAAGAACATTGCTTTATTCTCAAAACTTAAGAACACATCTAATGTAAACATCTTTCAGATATTCTGTTAGTGAGTAAGATGGCCACTCAAAAAGAAATGTTTTAAGATAACTTAAATTTAGAGAACAAGGCAATGTTTTTAATCTCAGAGGGTAATTGTTTGAACATTTTTGGTCCTGTATACTGAGGGGATGAAAGATTATAAGCCTATGTTAAACTCGTTTTTATAATATTTTTGAATCTTGTGTTATGTGGACGAGATTGTTGACAGTCCATGAATGTGCCGAAATCACTTTTAAACATTAATGGCGGTTTGTAAACAGCTAAAAAATAATGCGTGATATAGGTTGCACTTTGATAGGTTTTTAACGTGTTTTTGCAAAATTAGTTGTGAATCGATATCAATTCCCAAATACTTTATTGTTTTTTGGTAAATGAATTGAAGTTAAGTTTGTATTTAAGATAACGTTTTTGGGGACGTTTATATTTAAAAAGGTACTTAGGTAATTACTATTCCAGAATTTAAGGTGGATTTTCAGTAGTATTTGGATTTTGTGAAGATGGGAATCTTGTTAAATTTTTTTAGTGGCGTAAAAATGATTGTAAAATATTTTTGGTGGATTAACAAAATCTTCATAATTTGCAACAATCCAACCAAGCCGATTCTAGTTTTGGATGAATCGTAATAAGGCAACGTAGGGATGAAAATGATTCATGATGTCCCTACAACCATAAGATATAATCATGGTACAGTATTACTACAAACCCAGGATACAATTACAACGTCACATTTTTGGAGATGATTATGTTAGTACTGTGATTATTATTTACAGTCAGAGGTGCTTCTCATAAAAAATTCAGACGTTTAAAATAATAAAATATTTACCAATTTAGTAGTTTCTACGGACAATTTAGTTAGATTTTGATTTTATCATAAAATACTAGCCTCTATACCCTTTAAGTAAAACCATTTTGTTATTTTTTAAATTAGAATGCAATTCATAAACATACATTTCTGATTTTAGATTCAATATTCAATTGTACCAAGTACAGCATCTTATCTTTGACTTTTAAAACAAAATTCAACTGGTAGGTCTCTCTAGCATAAACATACCTGTTTGCTGAGACTTATTTAGACTCTTTCGTTCTCTTATGAAGTCTGCTCAAACAGCGGACTTGTTTCAAACCACCAATGCATGTGACTTTCCACTCTGGGTGTAATAATAAAAACTCTCTGTTGCAGCCTAAAGTTTTTATTTATTTTTGAATATAAAACTAAACAAACACGTATGTATGGTGTCAAACAATCGAGATAACAAAGGGCAAGAAGAAGACTAACAAGAACAGGGACATCCTTTTCAAAAACATGTATAATGCATAGGTATAGACTAACCAACACAACCTCGAAGAGCTTAACACCTGAAAACTTAATTTTAAACCTTTTGTGGCATACATGGAAAATATTAAGCCGGTACGGGAATTAATATACAATTCCCGTACCGGCTTAATATTTTCTAAACGACAACAGATAAATCAATAAGATTTCAGACATCAACAGCACCTAAAACTCTTTTTTTAAGGACTATTAATTGTCTGTCATATCATTATGGGGACGTCTCGCAAGGAGTCAGAAGGAAATCCTAAATAGAAGCATAAATTAATATGTACATCACATTAAAGACCTTTACTAGCGGAATATAATACCGCAAATTTGAACCCAAACGGATAACTGAGTAAAAAATACCAGCCGTTCAAAGATTTCTTGAATCTGCCATTTTGAATATTTTAACAACCGCCATTTTTTACGCAGTTGTTCTTTTGGTTTGAATTTATGGAATTGTGATTTACCTTTAATTTGGTGTCCATATCGACCCATGCTTACGTTTTACGCTTTTCTTCCGATTCCTAGCGGCTGCCCCCCTGCGGAGGTATAGGCCTGATTGTAAATTCAATGCATATTTGAACTGCTGTCATTTTTTTACTCTGTTGTCTGTTTGAGTTCAAATTTGCGGCATTATATTCTGCTAGTAAAGGTCTTTAATTCGATCTACATATGCTTCTTTTTAAAATTTCCTTCTGTCTCCTTGTGGGACGTCTCCATGATATGACAGAAAATTGATAGTTCCTTAAAAAATTAGATTTTTAGGTATGGTGTTGATGTACCAAATCTTATTGATTTATCTGTTCTTTTAGAAAATATTAAGCTGGTGCGGGACTTTACATACACCCTGTATAATCAATGATGTACTTTCAACGTATAATTCTAACCTTTCAAGGATGCGGAAACCCATTTCATGTTGTATCTTATTTACAATACATTCCACTAACAATAAACCTACTAGAGTATGTGTCAGATTGTTGATACCGTTTATTTTTAGTTCCCATTCATATATTAGACATCATGATATAGTTTCCAGCCAAAATACAATTCTAAAGTAGCTAGGTTAACAACTTGAGGTAAAATAATATAGACCATATAGATCCTACTCGGGATTCAAAAGCCATGTATTAGGTTCCTAGGAAGGGTTATTTTGCCTTTCCGTGATATTCTATTGCCCCAATATCACGAAATTTGTGTGTGTGAGAATATTTTTGTTAATTTGTTCACTTTTATAAACCCTAACCTATAATGGATCTTATAAAGGATGCCATTAACCAGGAAGTAGTGGACCAATTTTTGTTGGCCGTGAAATGGTGGAACTGTAATGGAAGAGTTTAAGAAATAATTGAAACCTGCATAAATGAAAATCAACGCCACATTTGATATTTTCTAAATGTAAAGGATATCTGACAAGTGTAGCATAATCAAATCAAATCAAATCAAATCATACTATGTTTAGTAAATAGTTCGCTCTCCAGTGTGTACCAATGTATAAATCTACATATTGTCCTTATTTATTAAGATTTATCACATAAAGTACACTTATGAGGTCACTTCTCTGTGTGAATTATTGTATGACTCTTTATATGTTCCTTAGTTTTGAAGGATGTTCCACATATAGTGCACTTATGAGGTCGCTCTTCTGTGTGAACTAATAAATGTTGATTCATATTGTCCTTAGCTCTTGAACATTTTCAAAGTACATTATGAGATCACTCAACGGTGTGTACTAATTTATGCCTCTTTACATTACCACTTGTTTGGAATGATCTTCCACATACATTACACTGATGAGGTCGCTCTCCCGTGTGAACCAATGTATGTAACTTCAACTTAGTAATGGTCTTGAAGGATTTTCCACATATAGTGCACTTATGAGGTCGCTCGTCTGTGTGAACTAATGTATGTTTCTTCAAATAGTCCTTAGTTTTGAAGGATTTTCCACATATAGTGCACTTATGAGGTTGCTCTTCTTTGTGAATTAATGTATGTTTCATCTTATCGGACTTAGTTTTAAAGGATTTTCCACATGTAGTGCACTTATGATGTCGCTCTCTGGTGTGGTATAATGTATGAATTTTCATTTTAGCAGTGGTTTTGAAAGATTTTTCACATATAGTGCACTTGTACGGTTGCTCTTCTTTGTGAACTAATGTATGTTTCTTCAAATAGTCCTTAGTTTTGAAGGATTTTCCACAAATAGTACACTTATGAGGTCGCTCTCCTGTGTGATCTAATGTATGAATTTTCATTTTAGCAGTGGTTTTGAAAGATTTTTCACATATAGTGCACTTGTACGGTTGCTCTTCTTTGTGAACTAATGTATGTTGCTTCATATGTTCCTTAGTTTTGAAGGATTTTCCACAAATAGTACACTTATGAGGTCGCTCTCCTGTGTGATCTAATGTATGAATTTTCATTTTAGCAGTGGTTTTGAAGGATTTTCCACATATAGTACACTTATGAGGTCGCTCTCCTGTGTGATCTAATGAATGAATCTTCATATTTTTCTTAGTTTTGAAGGGTTTTCCACATATAGTGCAATTATAAGGACATTTCTCAGAATGTGCCAATAAATGATTCTTTATATGATGTAGTTGAACAAATGTTTTCTCACATGTCAAACATCTAAAGGGACGCTCGCTGGTGTGTAAATATATGTGACTTTTCATTGTAAATGTAGTTGAAAACGTTTTTCTACATATTGGACACTCAAGCAAAGGCTTTTTAGTGATCTTTACCATGTTTTAGTCTTTAATTTCTGACTTCTAACTTTTTAGACATTGGAATTAGTAGGTTTGCTTTGTATGTCTATTTCTGTTTGATTTGTTAAATGTTTGACAGTTTATTTACATATGTATCAATCAACTTTAAAACACCTTTTGATCAAATATTGTTATGTGTATTAAATGGCTTACAACATAGCCTAATCGAGGCAATTTGATTTTCTTTCTTGGCTTTTATGTTTCATTATATTAAATTAGCCTACTTATTTAAAAGAAAAAGTTGCTTCTAGGTTCCTTTTTTTTCTTCAAATAATATTGTATTAGCAACATAAATAGTCATGTAGGTCTATAATTTAAATTGAGGTTTTATGTAGTGGATGACTTACTTTCATTTCTACTTTAAGTGTAGTAAAGACTTAATCTTTTTAGCTGTTGTTTAAAGTAGTATATCAGATTATGTAAATTATCTTTCTTGTAACATGAATTAAGGTTCCTTCTCTTCTTCAAATCTATTTCCTCTTCTGAAAAAGACAACATTTTATTAATTATATACATTTGTTGTAATCATTTAGGTATAATTTATTATTTTAACAATGATTTTAAAAAATTACAAAAATGTGTACCTACTGTACTATATATATATATATCCAGGTTATCATAATAATGCAAAGATAGAATCATAAATGCAATTAAAACGTACGTAATCTAATTAAGTATAGGAGTGGGTGTCTATAAAATTATCAGATCTAAAACACTTTTTTAACATACAGACACATGAATGCTACTACAAATTGCATGGATTGAAAAAGAAACCTCACAAGTTTGGTTTGATATATCTAAATTTCCTCAACATGCTGCATGGTTGTGGTAAATCATATTTGCAGTCTTTGTTGCAACTCTGCACAACGTTGGTAAGCATATTCTGGCTTAATGTTGTCATTGCAACATGAATTCTTTCTCACAGTTTGGAGGGGTTTGAGCTATTGGCAAGATGTCCTCAGTATATTCTTGTCTTTCACATAGACCCAGAGAAAGAAATGCCCGAAAAGGCCCGAAATTGGGGTGAACACGTTAGAAGACTAATCAGCACACAGGCTGATCCAACCATCAGGGAGCCTCTCATTTAAAAAACTTAAGACATCGCAACACCAATGAAGTGGAGCCCCGTCCTGTTTGAACATGTCATCCATGTCCTCTTCAAGTGGAAACAACCATTACTCCTCCAACATGTCCAGCTATGCAACATCATTTACATTTTTTTCTGCAAAGAAACATGTGCGATTCACGTTGGTCTTTGACACCGCACAAGAGACATTCAGTTTCGAATCCCTTTCAAGTTGCATAAATGCATGCGGAGTCTCAGCTGCCCAAAAGTGCACATTATACTAATTTTCCACTAAAGTGAAAGGTTGCTGTTTCATCGCTGAATACCAGATGAGTAGAACAATTCTCATCTTCTAAGCAATTTTGAAGTCAGGTGAGCAGCATGACACCACGGAGCAAGTCGCAAGGGCAGTATGTTCAAGTAAAAATGTAATTTTCTAGTTTTTCACTTATATTTATTATTTATTTATTAAACATCATCACATTACATCAATTCCCTTGACATGTGATTTGTCACAAAGTCTAATACTACATTTTAAAATCTTTCAACCCACTCAGATTTAAAACATTGCCTAATTCATTAAACCTATGAACACATCAAATATTTAAATCTTCAAGATATTCTTTTAGTGAGTAAAATGCCCTCTTAAAAAATATTTTTTTTAAAGATGATTTAAATTTAGAGAATGAGGCAATAATAATGTGTTTAATCTCAGCGGGTTGCTGTGATTAAAAATATTGCTGCATTCTCTAAACTTAAGAACACATCTAATATACATATCTTCCAGATATTCTTTTAGTGATTAAACTGCCCTCTCAAAAAGAAATTATTTTTAAGATAATGTAAATTTAGAGAACAAGACAATGTTTTTTAATCTCAGCGGGTAATTTTTTGTACATTTTTGGTCCTGTATACTTTAGGGATAAATGGACGATTTTAAGCTTTTGTTGAACTGGTTTTATAATATTTTTGAAACTTTTGTTATGTGGATGAGATTTTTGATAGTCCATAAATGTGCCGAAATTACTTTTAACCTTTAATGGCGATTTTTAAAGAGCTAAAAAAGGTTAACATGTTAAACTAAAAAAAATAAATCATTACAGTGTGTTCTACGGGGTCCTCTGGCCCCTATAGAATGTGTTTAGCTATTTTTCAGACAATAAATATATTTTGGCCTTGCTTGATGAGTCCCATTAGTAATCACATGATTCATAGTCATTGAAAAATATGAGTGATATACTTTTATTTGTGTTTCTAGATTGGTAGTATCTCGAACTATTGTAAGAACAAATGTTGCTGAGTACTCTTTTTTGATAGGGTTTTAATGTGTTTTTGCCAAATTACTTGAAATATCAATTCGCAAATAACTTATTGACTGTTTTGAGTGAATTCAAGTAAAGTTTGTATAACACGATTTCTTGGTTTTAGAGACGTTTATATTTAATAAGGTATTCAGGTGATTATTATTCCGGAATTCCAGGTGGATTTTTGTCAAGACGGGAACCTATTTTGTTCAAAGTTTTTTAATCCCGAATAATGTTTGTAAAATCTTCTTGCTGTATTAGCAAAATCTGCATAATCTACAACAATCCAACCAAGCCTATTCTAGTTTTGGATGAATTGTAATAAAACAACGTGGGACTGATAATGGTTCATGATGTCCCTACAATCACAAGATATAACCATGGTATTGCACATCCAGGATACGATCACAACCTCACATTGTTGGAGATGATTATTAGTGATTATTATTTACAGTCAGAGGTTTTTTTCATAAAAAATGCAGTCGTTTATATAATGAAACATTTGCCAATTTACTAGTATCTGTTGCGATTAGTAATATCATAGACTAACCAACACAAGTAGACTTCTCATCCCATAGTAAATTTTGAAGCACATTTTTCGTGTCTAGTTCATGTACGTGACACATGGGCGCTAGTGTCGACGAAACTTTGTTTCTATTATTTAAGGTTTAATTTCTTGATTTTGTGCTTTACTGTTTGGTTATATAACTAGGGGACAAGTTATTGTTTATGATTAGATCGTATTATTTGGTTAAACGAGGTTTTAAATGGCTGTAATAACGGGAAACAAATTGTAAACAAAACACGACCTCTACATAAACCGTACAGAACTAACAATAAAATTGTCTTCGGCTGTTCCATAAGGATGAGAAATCTACTAAGGGAGTATGTTTTATCTATGGTAATATCTCTATCATGTTTCTAACAGTCTGTGTTAAATATTAATTTATTTTTTATTAACAGATGATTAGTTTGTGTTAAAGTTTATTTTTTTTTATAAACAAACCATTCAGGTTTTTGTTTAAATAACTTTTTTTCTAGTTTTATAGTTAGTGATTAATTGCAGATTCTCGGATATCCAGCCATTTGTCAAAGCTCAAAAACCTATGGAATGATCTAAAACTAGAAATTGGTAAAGACACTCAAAGTAACTGTTACTTACCTGAATTATTTCTAATTTTCAAAATTATAGACACTTTACCGGAGGAGTTTTTCTCATTTAAGTCTAGTTGGATGGAGAAATCTGATAGAACTATTGACACACTTACTATACAGCTTTGTGCATATGAAAAAGCATTGAATGCCAGAAATGAGCAAAACTGCAGTGAGACTTTAGTGGTAAAGTCTGGAAGAAAGATTAATGACCATGGCTTTGGTGAGAATTCAGAAGTGTAAAGGACAGTAGACAAAAGAAAAGTTTAGTTTGCCATTATTGTAAGCAATCAGGTCATTAAGTTAAGCAATGTAATAAGTGGAAAGCTAATGGTAGGCAAGCCAAACCTTCTAATCAGATATCTTTGATCTTTAGCGAATCAGAGGGAGAAGATTCTGGGAAGAACATGGGTTTCATGACATTCAGTCAAGTAAATTTAACTGAAGGCTCTGGTGGAGATTGATGGTTATAGATAACAGTCATTACGTAACTTTTAAAGATTTATTTCAGACCTTTGAGCCCTTTGTAGACAGTCTAGTGATGAAGATAGCAAATGGAGAGTCCATCTGTGCTCTAGGAAAAGGCACTGTAGAGGTGGAAGCAGCATTAATTGGAAAGTGGATGAAACATAAATATCTCTATGTCTGGTATTGCTTGATGCTGGTATCCATGCTAAACCCTATTTTTGCCAAAAGGGTTGCCTTGCAATATATATAAAATGTTTAATTGAAAGGTAAGGGGAGAAAGGGGGTGAATGGGAGCTTAACATTGAATTCAGAAAAATTGTGGCCTCCACGTCAATAGATGATTCCCGCAAAGTGCATATGTCTATCTATTGCAGTATCTATCTATATATTAATAGGCAAGCATGTTTCTTTAAAACCTTTTTTCTCAGCTCGTGTGCATCGCAGGGAAAATCTACGCATACTGTTGGAAAGATATTTTCCTGTAGATGTGCAGAATGCTTTTAAAAATTAAAATAGGCTAACAAATAAGAACAAAAAATGAATTTGAAAACTTCAAAAAATTAACATGGACCATATGGGTTGCCATGATGGTGACGAAATAACAACAAAATGTAAACAGAAAATCAAAACAAATGGAAGAAATTCCAATCACATGTTTTATTTACAGTGTGGGGAGAAAATAGAGAAGTCTGTACATTAATTATTTTTGGTCGAGTTTCGACCACGGGACGACCACTAGTTTACATAAATAAAGAAGCAAGTTTTTTTTTAAACAACCTGTACAACACTTAACACATGCCTTTCTAGAATCACCAAATTTACTACAGTATTTCTATTTCACATTCAAACAGGCCTTCAAAGACTAATGGCCTACAAACCTCACCAATGCACTTTATAAAGACTTGCCTTGATTCTCAAGCAGAAGTTAAATTTTAAAAAATGAGATAAAAACCTTCAGCTGACAATTCAACTTATTAAAAACGACAATCAATTGTTACTTCAAGAGCCAAGTAAACTAAAGTGTGCTAAAAACTGTACACATTGTTTTGCATCTGTATAAGATGTGCCAACAATAACTCAACCTGCTCACTGTGATAACACCCTATTCTATTCCCATGGTTAGGTCTAATACAAAAAAGGTTGTGAGTCAATGCACAGCCATTGTAAAATCCATTATCTCATTGCCTGCAACAAGTTGTAAAACAAAAGATGCTCCTGGGCATAAGCGCCCATTGGGGGTGTACCAAAGGAATTAGGAAGTAAATTTATTACCTGAAATGTTGTATAACTATGTTTATTAATTAGAAATTTATAAAAGTACGTTTCATAATGATCTTTACAAAAACATTAGTATCTATTAATATTTCAATGAAAACAGTACTTTATTTGGGCTATAGATGTACCATTTTTATACTTTAACAATGCTATTCAAAAAAACAAAAACATCAACTCTTTTGGTTGTTATAGGCTTTACTCAACTGTAAATGTATGT